ATACATCCAGAATAATAAACAAAGCTGTAGAAAATCCCATAATTACTAAGACAGACCTGAGAATGGAATAAAAAATGTCATCCAGAATTCATCATATTCATTACAGTTTTTAAATATAAAATAAAACATTTGAAAACATCTTTTAGTGAATACTTCGTGATATCTATATATTATTATTACTGTAAATCAACGAACAAAATTGATTAATAAAGCAAGTGATTTCGATAATTTGAACGAGGGACAAACTTTGAATAAACCCCTGAATCTGGTCATTCATCTATTCATTTTAGGACAGATGCCATCCCGACTGCAATTTTGTAGCTACTATGAAAATAATTTGACAGTGAAGAGCTGAAGTCTGGGAAATTTAGTTTTAAATCTGCAATATGACTTCACATACATCACACATATTAGCATGTATGGATTTCCCTTATATCCAACTTGTCACATATAGACATGTATAAAACACATGCCAACTTATTCGGAACTGGCAATTTTCAAATATGGGTCATATTTCAGTCATATATCAACATACACAAACATATATGTGTAACGCATATCCAACAATACATATGAGAAACTTTATGTTGCTGCTGTATCTCATTTAGATTTTTTTCTTTTAACTTGTATTAAAAACAACGCATGCAAATCTATCTGGTAAACTTTGGATTAAGAGTGGACAGTGAGTGGACACAGTGTTTAAAAACTCCACCAGCACTGCTGTGTCTAAACCAACCACACAAGCGCTGCACACTAACAAGCTACCACCACTTCACATGGTCCACCACCTAAATAATACCTGCTCTGTGGGGGTCTTGATTGTTGAAGAACAGGGTAACAAAGTATGCAGAGAAACAGATGGACTACAGTCTGTAATTGAAGAACTACAAAGTGCACCTATATGGTCAGTGGAGCTGATAAAATGGACAATAAGTGTAAAAAGCAAGGAGGTGGTTTTAATGTTATGACTGATCAGTCTATGTAATTAATGTTAATAGTTTTGTATTGTACTGTTTTTGTGTTGTCATATTAACATATAAAGCATTAGATATGATGGGAATATGGTAACTTGGCATCCTTTGTTTACCTAGTTTAATGTATAAAATTAAATTCTGTTTTTGCTAAACACTATTTTTGTGGTGCTTCATATCAGTGCTCAGGCAAGCTTAGTGTGTGTAGATTCTGTTCTAACCTAAGAACAAATCACAAATAAGAAAACACTGGTGAACATCAGAATCTCTGTAAAAACTGTGTAAGTGGGTTTTAAGAAGAAATTTCATCGTAAGAACCGTTGGTAAATGAGGCCCAATGGGTGGAAGGCAGTAAATACCCTGGAAAGGTCGCTAGTCCATCACAGGACAGACACACAGACACACACATTCACACCTAGGGGCAATTCAGCATCTTCAATTGGCCTGACTGCATGTCTTTGGACTGTGGGACACATGGAAAACATGCAAACTCCACACAGAAAGGACTCAGACAGCCCGGCCAGGAAATCGAGCCCAGGCCCTTCTTGCAGTGAGGCGACAGCGCTACCCACATCAAGTAATAGAGGCTGTTACTGCAGCAAAGGAAGACACTCTCTATTAATACCCTTCATTTCAGAAGAAATGCTGAGCAGGTGTCTATAAACCTTTGGACATATATTGTATATTTACTATTTATTTCGCTTTCGCAGTTAATATTGGAGCCTGACCGGTAATGCAACCTGCATCTGACTACTAAAGGTTTTAAGACCATATAAAATAAACAATTACTTGAATTAGATGATGGTGTGTTGTGTATTACACTGTGATTTCAGATTCAGTGCTGATTCTTAATCATGCTACAAAGCTAAAGGCAAAACGATCAACTCGTGTGTTCAGAAACCACAGTACACATACACACGAAGTAAAAGTCTCTCTGCATTCACAGTAATAAACACTTTTGTGGTTTTGTACCAAAAACAGTTATCATTCCTTTTTATGACAATTTTCCAGCCTCTCTTACTATTAAAACAGGCTGTTTTTGTTTCTGTGCCTTTGAGACTGACGTATGACCTCTGTTCTGTCTGGCTGGGCAGACTGAACTGTCCTGCAGGGCTGTGTTAATATGTGAAATAAATCTCTGCACCACATTAAACTGTGTGAAAATTCAACCAAGAAAAAAGTCACACCGGCACAGACTTTAGGTCATCAGAAGAGTTTTATTAAAAAGCATCTGTACAGGTCGTCTAAAAAAGCTCAATCACCTCTATTGAATACTGGCCAATCTCTCTGGACTGCTTGGATTTTTTGAGCGCCTCCAGACTTCCCTCGATCTTCCCCAGTTCAGAGTACAACTTCACCTAAAAGTAGAACAAACCGTAATGAGTTATTTACAGAAATACACTCAGTACTTCGGCACTTACTGAAGCGAATGTATTTGGCCCCATTTCAATCCTTTTCAACTCGCCCTCACTCAAACACTTCACACATGTTGGACAAGTGGCCACTCACAGTAGGAGGGGAGGAGCAGATTATTCAGACATACACACTTGCCCTCGGCAGATTAGCCTCAGTGAGCTAATCAACTAGCCATGCAAACTTGGCAATGCAAAAGTTTTTGGAGAAGTCTGAGAACAACGTACAGTGGTGTGAAAAAGTGTTTGCCCCCTTCCTGATTTCTTATTCTTTTGCACGTTTGTCACACTTAAATGTTTCAGATCACCAAACAAATTTAAATATTAGACAAAGATAACACAAGTAAACACAAAATGCAGTTTATAAATGAAGATCTTGATTATTAAAGGACAAAGAAATCCAAACCTACAGAGCCCTGTGTGAAAAAGTGATTCCTGCTGTACAGCGCTTGGCAAACCTCTCCTGCGCACCACTGACTGTCCTGATGATACTGCTGCTGCACAGACTCGAACTATTTAATCAGAGCCACTGCTCCTCCTGCTTCTCCCCTTTTCCGTATCTTATAGTGGTCAAATCTCATTCTCTCCTGTTACTGTTTGCTGTCCGGTGTCGACCAGAGGGGGATGGGTTCCCTTTCTGACTCTTGGTTCCTCTCAAGGTTTCTACCTCTTGCTCTTAAAGAATTTTTCTTTGCCACTGGCGACGCTCATGGAGGCTTGGACCCAGATTTTTCTCTAAAGCTGCTTTGTGACAACAACTGTTGTAAAAAGCGCTACAGAAATAAACTTTGACTTGACTTGAGTAGAACCGTACAACCTTTGTTTTTTGTCGTTTTTAGCTGTGTAGGCTTTAGCATACTAAGGAGCCAGGCAGCAAAGGAAAGTGATGAAGTTGTATCAGCAGTCTTGTAAAACAGGTGGAGTAGTTTGTAACTTAAAGCTCAGCAAATCAAATGTTATGGTTTTGAAATGTTAAGTATTTTTGCTATGAACAGCTTTATTTGCCATTATTCTGGGGTACAAATAGGGAAATGCGCCACATCACAGCGATATCTGGGCAAGTTCTGCTTTTGAAGTCGACACTTGTGTTCACTCAGTCCCTCAACCCTCCGAGGGCTCATCTAACACCCCTCACTTGAGCTAACAAAGTAATGGAGCGGCCCTTAAGATGGTGTTTAGGATTCCCCTGACGGGATACAACACTGTATCAGGGAGGGTCTCTGAGCTGGCAGAACATCTCTCGATGAAGGGTGGGGGTGAGGGGAGGGGGTGCAGGTAAGCAAGTCATTACATCTTGATGGAAAATTATGCAAAGAATTCTGTCTTTTAAATGACTTACGATTAATCACGCTTAATATGATAAGGGACATGAAGTAGCAATGTGAGAAATATCAGTTTTGATTTCAGGTTGATTTAAAACAAGTTAATGCGAATGAAAATCCCCTATCCACTGCTCTCCTTCTGTACATTACAGTGGACTTACCTGAGACCTCACAAACTTGTGGAGACTGGACAGCAAACTCTTGGCCTCAGGAGCCAAAACAAGCACTGTGAAGTGAGCATCCAGCAATAAGCAAACCCAATCCATGATCTACAACGGAAGAAAGAGGAATCAGTCATTGATTATCTCTCTCATAGACAGAGATATGGGGATGGGATGAATGTCTCTATGGACTTTAACCCCTTTGAACTCTAGGCTTATTGTTTAGTTATTTGTTGTTAGTAGATCGACTGTTTTCAGGGTAATGAGAAACGCTTTTCACTGAACTTGCTTTAAACACACTACTGTTCAAAAGTCTAGAATCAATGTTTTCAATAAAACAGATGAAAGTGGACTAGGAAACTACATATAACAAAAAAAAAATAAATAAATAAAAAAGGAAATTTTTAATAAACCCTTAAATCTAATTATTCAGTTACTGATATTGAGACAGATACCATTCTGACTACAAATGATTTTGTAACTACTACAAAATTAATCTGAAAGTAATATAATTATGAGAGTGACTAAATAAAGTGTGTGAACTTCAGGATTAAAGAGGTTCAAAGAAACACTGAACAGTCTATCAAACCTGAGTGACAGCTGGCTTTCGGAGGGCGGGGATTCGAGAGTGGGCATCTTGCGAATACTTCAGATACAGGAACCGCAGGTACTGCAGGAGGAGCTGGACACAGAGAGGAAAATGAGCACAGGGGCTTCACAATATTGACACAATGTCATACTGTGATTATATTGCTGCACGTTGCATTTTTGACATGCCTTGTAATACTTTAAAATGCACTGGCCCAAAACCTCTATGTGATGTGGTTAAAGCCTGGTCTGCATTAATTTTGATTATAACGATGTGCGGTTATTGGATTATGTGATCACCTTTATTCATTTAAAAAAATTCAAAGAACCTGTAATTGGTCACAAAAGACACACACAAAACCATGTAGTGATTGGTTAGACAGCTCATTTGCACATTGTTTTAGGTTAAAACACAGAACCGCTTGTTTCAGTACTTCTGTACTTACTATAACTTGCGGGACACTGAGGTCCTTTAAGTGGGGAAGCAAAAGACTGTCACTGTACGGCGTCTGCAGAACCTCATTTCTTATAAAAGGGTTAAGGATGTCTGAAGGATTCCAACACAGTGATCTAAAACATGAATTAAAGCTTTTAGTGTGTGTTGCATTTTTCATTTTGGCGCATGAATATTCAGTGTGTGAATAAAGGCAACCACACACTCAAATCTGTACAATAATCAAAAGATTCTTTCACAGATTTGAGTGTGCAGATGCTTTTGTTCACATTTTGTTTTTTTAGTTCTGGGACCTCAGCTAAGTCTGACACTGGATGAGCTGTTTCAGCAAAATGATCAGTAATGAAAAAATGTGAAATATCTTATCCAATGACATACTTTTACATCTCAATTTGGTTTTATAAAACATTTTACTACAGAAGATGCAAATTTTTTGACCCCTAAACCCCAAGCTTACTTTTCAGTTATTAAATTGTGATCAGTTGTATATTTAGGGTACGGGATTTATTTATTTATTTTTACTGAACTGTTGCGTTGAAGCTTTTGCCATTCATTTTTGCCATTTCTTCAGCTGACCTTCCATATCAGGGGTGTCATTCAACCCCTGAAAGGGCCATATTAAAAAATCTGAGCAAATCTGTGGGTCAGCTTTGTTATTTCATTTTAACCTAACATTTTGCCACGACCTCAACGGGCCATCGTTTATTTAAAATATACCAAAACTGCTACAGCAAAATAGGCACTGAATACTTATTCAAAAACAATTTAAAATAAAACAATAGGCTACAGATAATTGTTAATTGTTTCTTAACACCACCCATTTGTTTGAATTAGACACGAGGCATCTTTTCTTTTTGTCTAACTGGCCCATAGATTGTTGTTAGAGAAAGGGGGTTAGAATGCACATTATGTTGCAGTGCATGCTGGGGACTGTAGCTCAGGTTAAAAAAGGCTGATAACAGAAAATTTAAATAATTACGTGGACTGAATAGGGTTGCGCCACAGGCCTGACTTCGCCCTATGGGCCTTGAGTTTGACACATGGAGAGAAGCACATCTTTCTCACAATGGTCAAACGACACGTTTTGTAGCTTTTCTGAGGGGAAATAAGTTATATGGCCTCTACAAGGAACAAACTCATAACAAATATGATATTTTTCTGTGAATTGTAGTTTGAATTTAACCAATTTAAAAAATAATAAAATATTAAATATAAATTTTCTTCCATACCTTTTGCACAGGCCACATTTTTTTCCCAAAATGCTAATTTAATGTAGTTTTACCACTGGCACTCAAACTTTAGCATTGTTGAAAACATAGCAAAGCTTTTATTAACTCCTTGAACCTTAGGCTTATTTTTCAATTCCTGATTTTGAGACTTAATATTCAGTAACAGCCATAACCTATCTGGTCACTACTATGCAAGTTCTGCAATTAGGAGTGCATGAAACTAAAGTATGGATCCCCATACAGACCCTTAGAGCTTAAGGAGTGTTAACAGTCGAGTAGCGGGGTGTTAAACAGTACAAACTCTGTGAACACCACATCACTGCCCCCATCAGCCCACCACCCAAATTCTTATGAATACACCACACAAGGTGAACTAGATGAAAAGAATAAGAAACAGCATCAGCAGCAGCTGTAAGGATACAGTAGAGCTCCTTTGTGAGGTCCTACAGGGCAGCTCATATCCAGGGCTAATGGATCTCTGGGCGGCTTGGTGCCAGGGACCTCAGAGTCTGGAGGAGCATCACAGCTTTCCTCCTCCAGAACTGGAGGGCAGAAACCGTTTGGCTGACCACTGTCCCCATCTGAGACCTCTGCTGTCTGGGTGAGAGCCTTCATGAAGAGCAGACTATCTTCTTCTAAATCCACTTGTTCCAACTCTGAATCCTGAACACTGCAGTGAGAGACAGGAGGAAAAACATGTTACCGAGATGTTTTGATAGGTGTGAACATCTACAGTCAGTAGACAGTGAGCCTTATATTCACAGCCTCCAAACTGTTCACTGATACCCATACAGCACATTTCTACCACAGAAATCACTAGTAATAACAGATATTTATCCAGTTTTGATTGACTTTGCTGTGATATATTCATCTGATATACCAGTATTTCAGCCTGACCTAAATTACATAAACAACTACAGAACTTGTTTTTCTTGTTCATCAGCAGTAATTAAGCAGTTATATGGTTAATTCATATTAATTTAAACTCTATATCAATAGCTTCAAGTCTGCTAATGTTTGTTTATTTTCGATGTCAAGAAATGACACATAGCAAAAAAAGTAAAAGATGTTTTTCTTTCCACAAAATAAAACTGTAGCAGCAATTATTAGTCAACAAGTTTGTTTACAGTGGTTTAAAAAAGAATAAGTACTATCAACGCGTCACTTACCCACCTCATTATCATTAGAGTACTCGATAAGTTGAAAGAACAGAAAAAAATTTGATAGATTAACCTATTACAGAAATTATCATTAGCTGCAGCCCTTGAACAACAACATTCCATCAAATTCAAATCATGATAAAATGTCACCTTTACTACTTAAGAACACGAATGTGGTATGGATTCAAAGTTCGGAACCAGAATTTCTCAGGTCGAGCTATGAACGAGAAATAATTAACATAAATGACATTTTCACGTGTGTCCTGGATACTTGAGTTGGCATCCAGGATCGATTCTGGGCCCGCTATCACTGATTTGCTTTCACACACAGGAATTCCATCCAAACCGTGGATCGACAGCACAATTCCATATGTCACTTTTCTGCATACTTTCAAATAGTCCTGACAGAGTTCATACTTAAACATTACATTGATCCACTGTTCAAGTGTAGCCTTCCAGTTGAAGCTGATCATTTATATGCTGAAACAACTGAGAGTTTTCTTCTCTCCGTATATCTGTAGGTCAATCTGTCTCCTCCACTGTCCAGAACAATCCTTTCCCTGCCATCATGAAACTTGAAAAGGGAAATGACACAATAAGCTACAAAATGAACCAATAACGTAACCCCAGACGCAGTGGACCGCACCATAATTGGCTGGAAGCAAACCTCAGAACACTAAATTTAGGTGGACCAAAGATCGGCTCGAAAGCAGCTTTCACACTTGACCAAACATACTGAAATCGCAGAGCAAGCGGTCCTGGGTCCGAACTAAAACTCTAGTGTGAAAACGCCCAAAATCACAGCATGCTTTTGTTATCACCAGTGGTAACTGCAAATTCAAGAGGTCACGGGTCAGAGATGGGACTGATCCGATCCTACATTGGGCCCGATATTGACGTTATTCACTCATCAGATATCGGACGGACAGGGCAGATGCACTTACTGATCCAGATTCCAGTCCGCAGCTGGCGCTGGACCATGTACCCGCCGTAACATAACATAAAACATCATCGATCCAGATTCCATTCCACATCTTACCATGAACCCACTCTACTTCAGTCTGTAACTAAAGAAACAAATGCACTAGAGTGTGGTGTGGCATGTGAAAAAGTGCAGGGGGGTCATCAAACACCAGCAGTTACCAACAATACCAACAATATTTATGATAAAATTAAAGTACAAAAGCTCTTGTATTGGAATCTGTATCAGCATCTGCAGTTGTGTATCGGAATTGGATTGGACCTGAAAAAATGTGTATTGGCTCCTCACTAGTTATTACACTTGATCCCTATGTGAAGGACGGACAATCTCCACTATTCTGGTCTGAAAGTCTGTGAATTTACTATAGTGGACTAGCTTAGCTGCAAGGCCCTCCAACACACCTGATTCACCGTGAATGTGTCCCTTTTAAAAGACCCAGTCTTTGCCTCTGTGCCTTTAATAACTGGATTAAGAATCTGTGCTCCAAGCTGAACAACGGAGTGCTGCTTACCTGAGGATGGTCTTGAGACACCAACAGGTGACCGCTTCTGGAATGTCCTGGAACAGCTGCAGACACAGCTGGCAAAGGCAGAAATCACTCTTCTCCAGAGTCAGCATCAGCAGGTCAGGACACCCGCTGAACAACAAGACGTCAGTCAGCACAAACCAACAACTGACACACCAGATCAGGCTTAGAAAATTGATATGTTAAAAGCATGAGGGCATCTCTCAGTCTCACCTGTGGCACAGGTAGTTTGTTTGGACCAGCTGAGTGAGGGCAGCCTGAGGGTAGAAGGTTGGATCTGCCTGACATCGCGTCACCAGTGCAGATGCCAGTCTGCCAGCTGTCAGCTGCAGCTCTTCCGGCTGTGATCCATGCAGAAACGCCTCCACCTGTTTCTGCACCTCCTTCTCAGAGCCCACCTACAGAACATGCAAGAGTTACACACCCATATACAGTAGCTGGTCTGGCTTAGGGTCTGGAACCACAAATGGAACCGGCTTCACCCAAATCTTGTGTCATAAAAATTATAACACTGGCCAAAATAAAACTGTTCAACAGCCAATCGCACCTTAAGAGTGATTAATGGCTGATTCTTTATGTATGTAAATACTTACAAGATTTCTTTAACGCTCTGATAAAAAGATTAAAAATATATTCTCAGGTACAGCTATCTAAACTATGCTTTCACCATACTACTTTTTTTTTTTTTTTAAACTATTTAAGACTCGAGTTTTGCCCTTTTCTCAGCAAACAAATTACCTTGATTTTCTCAGCCAGCTGCTCTGCTGTTGGACAGGACGACTGGTTCCTTGTGCTTGTCTTCTGTAAGGAAAGGAAAGAATCATCAATCAGTTTCAACATCCACATTTAAGCATCTCAAACACAAACAAATCTGGACAAATTTAATTGTGATATTTCCATATGCAATCTGTTCCTATGGGCAGGTGAAACTTACATGCAACTTTAGCTGCGTGAAACCTACATGAAACTAAAATGCTTCAATTGCACAATAAAGAGTGCTGCAACTCAACTGACACTCAGCCGCAACTGTTACAAGCGTCTTAACTTTGTGGAACAAGATTCATTAAACAGCCAATCAAAACGCCAGTAACGTATCACGTGATCACATCCAACAACTTACTTTCAAACCACTGATTTCACCGGGTTAATGGACAAGATTCTGAAAAGGAGTCCCCTTGTGCCAAAGACAGATAGATAAAGGACAGATGTATAGACGTAGCAGATCGTAGGGAAAAAATGGCAATGACAACTATAAACAATATAGAAAGATGATTACAAAAATGATGCTGCAAAATGATAGTGTATCAAAAACACAAGCTGCTATTTTGGTTAACTAGAGGAGTAACTGAATGTGTTGCGAGCAACTTTGATTGCTGATTTGTTTGCGTTGTGTAACTATAAAGTTGCACGCCGCTCACAACATGCATCTTGTTGCATGAAAGTTTCGTCGGCCATACTTTTCCACATGCAATTTACTCCACAGAAGTTTCAATCTCTATCAACAGTGTGCTTTAGTCTAGTGGTTCTCAAACCATATTGCAAGGCTCCCTAGGCTGTCCACCTTTTTTGGTCAACTCCAACCCCCAACACATAGGGAAAGAGCAAAAGTATGGACCATCCAGGGGGGCTTTAGTTCAAAAGTATTCTAAATTGTCTATTAAGGAAAAATTCTCTCCTCTAACTCTCAGACACTAAAGCATGTGACTTACACTCTTCTTTGTGGCCGCTCCCCGGCTCCTCTCCTGCGTTTGTGTCTGTGTCTGATCGGCGTGGAGCAGAGCGTTCCAGGACGGCACAAGAGTCGGACCAGAGTTGCTCTCTGGATTAAACAGAAACAAAGACGAGTTCATTAGTATGAGTTAGTCTACACATTATATTATGAGCCCTTGATAGCAAGTGTATATTAGTACTAACACATGAATTTACTAGATATTAATACTACTACTGTTATATCATTAGTATGATCATTATTATTTTGTTTCCTGCTGTCAATACAGCTCCATACTGAAAGCCTGATACCGTTGGTTACTGATGTCTGTTTCAGCTTCCCCATGGCGGCGGCCAGAGATGATTTCTGACACTCGAACGGAATCACAGAAAGAGTTTTCCCATGAGGCACAAACAGCTTTCCTGAATAACACCACAACTGCACACACAGGACAGAAGACACACAGTAAACTTCATGGCAACGTTTTCATATTTACAATGTCATAAGTTCATCATAAAATCTTCCTTCATAAGTGGCAGCTGGTATTTTCAAATGATGTAAAAACAGTGACAGTCATATTTTTCACCATGACTGATTTACTGCTGTAAGCCAGGATGTTCTAAAATGTTGTGACATGCAAACAAGCATTGACACCACTGGGAGATGTGTTACATTTATGCTACTGACCAAATTACCTTTTTACTATCAATTCATGCCATTCAATACCAAATTTTAATACAGACTGCTGATTGGCTGTCTAAATTACATTCATTATGTGTGTTAGTGATGTTAGCATATCTTCATTAGTCTGCAGTCTATTTCGGTCAGTAAATATACCCACTTCCAGCGATTCACACTCAGTTCTGGTTTAAGCCACGCCCACTTTTAGTTTCTAATTTAAAAGAAGGTTCTAAAAAAATAATGCTCAGTGTACTGAAGTCCAGGTATTGGTAGTGCTATCCAAAAATCCTGAATGATACCCAGTCTAGTGGTCAGCCTGCATGTAACGCAATCTTAAACTACCCTGGCTGATGATTTAAGAGATGGTATGTGTGTGTATGTATATATGAGAAAGAAAGATTATTATAGTATTTCTAACCTGGCCGTATATCTTGCCCGCCAGCTCTCTGCCCGCCTGCAAAGTCTGGAAATGTGTGTTCCATATACACAGGTAATCTACACAAACAAACAGGATATCAACAGTGATACGCAAGCACTGAAACTCATTGCTCCTCTGTCAGATCAAATACATAGTGGGTCGCTGTCAGGTCAGATCATCCTTCATAGACAATAACAGCCCATAAATCATAAGTTCAGTCTTTAATCAGTTGCTCTGCAAAAACAAGGCATGTGTTTGTGTCACATTACCCTTTAACACAGACTCATACAGGCCTGCAAGTCTCTGACCTTGATTCGACTATGATTCCCCATTCGAATAATCATGAAATGTCAGATTTCACTATAATTTGATTTGTTCTTTTCACTTTATTCAGTATTTTTTTTTAAAATACACTGTCATTTACAGAGTAGTGAAATATAGACAAACTCTAAAACTAAACTAATAAAAAAAAACTTAATTTATTTTTAAAATAAACCCACATTTTTTTTGTACTTTATTGTATCTACCGAGGATCTTTTATAAGATGTGTGTTTTACTAACTCTCTTTTACATGACATTTTCCAACCTCCTTTATCCCTTAGAATTAAACAGGCTGTTTTTGTTGTTGTGAACTAAAGATGTGTGTAAATGAACACTTCTCCGATTGGCTGTACTGTATTTTGCCATATCCAAAAAGCAGAATGGGATGAAGCCTGTGACTGGGTGGAGCTAAACTTCTGTAGGCTGAATAAGTGGATACATGTAAATGAGTTTGTTCTCATGACATCACAGAAGAAAAAATTTAAATTGTTTAAGGTGTTTTAGCAGCTTAGTTTCTAGAAATGGCCTGTATGGAGTGTTCAGCGTGTCTTTGAACTTTAACAATGTTTACCTGCCACATTAAACTCTTACTAAAAAAACGTGAGTGAAATTATTTTTTTTCATGATATGTTGATTTCTTATGCTTCTCAGTGAAATGGCAAAATAATATATTTTTTTTTTTACCTTTCCCAGCTCCAGCTGAGGGGTGCGGGACCCCCACAACAGCTATATGAGCCTCATCTATTGGCAGAGCTGAGGCAGCAGTCAGTTCTCCTTCACCCACGGGCAGCTTCAGGAGCAGGGAGCGGGGCAGAGCCTGAACTGTTTCAGAGACCGCTGGGACGGTGGGCCACGCCTGGAGCACACTCTCATACACACACCCGCTAGAGACTGTGGAGAGAGAAGCAGGCGAGTGATTATTTATTTATCAGTTAATAGAGTTTAATACACATTAAAACTGGGTCTCGCCAACAGTTCTTAAGAAGAAATTTATTTTACTAGATAAATAAATAATTGATCAGTTATCAATGCTGTTTCTTCTTAAAATTCCGAAGAATTGTATGAATGTAAGATGGACGGAGGCTTACACAGGTACAGCAGGTGTATGTTTCCATCTCTGTATGTGGCAGCATAGCTAAGAGGAGCGGAGTTAGTGGAGTCCGTCTCCAGCTTGTGCTTCACTAGAGCGTTGGGACTGAATCTCTGTACATACAGGCAGTGCTGTCCTCTCTGAAAAACACACAAACACAAAACTTTAAGAGCTCATCTCATAAGCACTAGTGTGGCAAATCTCACTTACACAATGTGAAATGGCTCTGTTAGCTATCGCTCACTATTAACCATGTTAATAAGTTAAATAAGGAGTTAACTGGTAATTACTGGCATGGTTGGATAAAGAAATCTGATTAATCTGGCTGCTGTACCTGTTCTGTGCTGAAGAGGAGCACCAGCTGCTGCTCCGTCTGCACTGCTGCACTCCACCTGGACAACAAGGAGGGAAATCAAACAGCTGTTTTCATCAAATCTGCCACAGTGAATAATGTTGATAAGAGAGAGAATCAGTCTGAAGGTACTGATTCAACTGCACTGACTGTTAAAATGAATCACTGAATTATAGTAACATTTATCTGTATTTCGCTACTTTGTAAACAGTTCATCCAGTTACTTTTTAATAATTCTGAATCATACCAAGATAACTTAATCAGATCCTGGTGAAATGTGAGATTTTATGATACACTAAAACATGATCACAACAAATCTTCCTGACTTCACTGCTTCACACCCCAATCCTCACCTGATCACCTCCTCTTCTGACAGCACCTCCTCTATGGGTTGCTGAGGGGCAGCGAGGAGTGAGTCCAGGAAGCGGACGGCCCCGTGGCGAAACAGCACCAGTGGCTCTTGGTCTGGTACAGAGTGCACTCTGTACACCTCCGCCGACACCTACAGAGGTTTACAGTCCAGTTAGTACAGCAACCAGGAGCAAACAGAGTTTTACTGCATGTTAAGCAGCTTGACCAATCAGAGATTTTCTCTCTGTGTTTAGATGAATCAAAGTTTTTACATAATTCAATAAACATAAAACATTTTAGTCAAATACACTGCAGGTCAATCTTCACTCAGATCATATCAAGCATTCACTAAATTGCCCTACCAAACAATTCTGTCCCTGCTTTTATTTTTTTGTTTTCATAATGAGCGAACCAACAGAAACTAAAAATGACCGAATGTTATTTCAGAGATCTGAAGTTTTGTTGCAACACCTAAAATATTGCAAGCTGAATCATAAACACAATATGGAGCGATATAGTAGCACAGTATATTTTGTCCATACCGTGCAGCCTTACAAGCTACTATGCTTAAGCATGTTTTGATAAACCCAATAAACAGATCAGCCTACATTCTAGTGTGTCTGGGAACCTGAAAGAACACTTACTGTTGCTTTGAAGGCTTTTTCAATGCTGATGTCTTCATCATTCCAAACTCGCACAACCTGAACAGGAATCAAGTCCATGAAAAATCTATTGATTATTATTATTAATAATTGTTATTATAATAATAATAATTATTACTATAATCATCGGGCCATTTACCATGGCCTAAATTGCAGTTTTTCCCCCACTTACCTTTTCATCTGTAACTACCACATACTCCTTTGTTTGCGAGTTGTAAACAGCAGGGCTGGTTATACACTGACCCTGCTTCACTGTCCAGCTTCCCAACGGCTTCTGATCTGAAACCTGAAAACGAGAGGTAGCAGTAGGATTTATTTGAGCTGCCATGAGGTTGATAATCAAAGATGGCTAGTAACTAACTAAATTTACCTAGGTGCATGTAAAGGTGAGAAATATGATGATGTTTTATCGTAACTGACATAAATTCTGTTAATGTGATAAACAGTATGCATCTCTGAGCATATTGTAGACATTGCCAGTACTTGAAAACACAAAGTGTTTAAGTGTTGGTTAACTGGATGTAGCACAGTGCAGTATATGAAATGTTGAACAAAAATTACTGTACGCAGGGTTTTTGAATGCAGCACTACTGGCACATTATACCTGTACGTTAAGACACTGTGACATGTCAAATATTGTGACAATGTCTCAAAAAGTATCATGACATGATATTTTCATATTAATCCATCCAAGTTGCATGTATTTAAGTACTGTTTTGATATGTGATCCAAAACCATATGTGATCTGCTGATGCCGATACATGAACATTCACAAAACATGGACACTGGAACTACACTGACCTGAATTAGCAGTACAGCAAAATATAACTCATTTCTGTAGGACTACAAAAAAGGCAAAATGAAAAAAATGCAAATCAACACAGCGGCCCAGTATTACTTAAACGTTCTGCTCTTACAGAGTACAACTTTTTAAAAGCATTATCTGCTGATACTTTTTAATAATAGTTTTCTTCTATTATAGGACATTCTTTTTCGCTCAGTTCCGTTTCAGTTCTTCACTCGTCCAACCCTAATGGCTTTTTTAAGGTTTTAGTTTATTCTACTGTGTTGGTTCAGCACCTGAGCTGCTTTACTGTCTTAACTGACTCTAACTTTGGAGCTTTCACATTTTAATTTAGACCAAAATGATCCTAAAAAAAGAAATAATAGAGCTGTCCACACTTCAGTTGCTATACGGACAGATGCCGGGCGTTGTGCACTGCAGGTCTATGGGGGGACTGAAGGGCCGGATACTTTTTTACTAAATTAAATGAGAATTGATTTGATTTTTTTAAATGTCTTTATAATTAAGTGATTAAGTAAACCGAGTCATTCTGAATGGCATGAGGTTAAATCTTTGACTCAGAGAAACTTACCCTCAGATCCCTTCGCAGTGGTGGTGAAAGGAACCAGAAGTCCCAATGTCTGTTCTAAAACTGATTCCAAATGCATTTGATGGTTTCCTAATTGGATCTAAAGGTGTCCCACATGAACCTAGTGGTCTCTAATAGTAACCATTAAGCCAATTCCGATTAGAAAGCAAAAATTCAGATTTTAATCCTAATGGTCCTAATATTTTTTCCAGAAAGGATTTTTTTCTTTTTTTAAGAACATAATATTCATTTTACAGCCACTGTCACCCAGCTGGAGGATCCGAGACCAGGCTGGAAGTTTCCTATTCGCCAGCTTCTCGTTCGAACTTTTCCGTTCCACCTTAAATGTTGCAGCAGTTACATTCTGGTGCCTCAGGCGTCACATAATAACTGATGCACCATTTAAAGTGGAACGAGAAAATTCGAACAAGTACATGTGAATAAGAAACTGACTTTTACTTCTCTCTCCGGGTTGTTTACACGCCGGCAGCGCGTGCAGTGGGGGTGTTTACTCTCCCCCCTTTTAAACTGTAATAAAGGTGTCATTTCTTTTACCTTATACACAGTGACCGCCCTGCCGGACTCTGTGATAACCACGCGGTCTCGGTCCCGACCCGGTTCGATCGCGCGCGTTCCCTCCGGTCCCGTATCCGCGAGCGCGCACAGCGTGTACGACTCATACAGCGCAGCCATATTTTTCACCCACAGCTGCACGAGACGAAGCGCGAGGAAAAAGAACCCGCAGCGCCCCCAGCGGAGCGGCGGGCGTGAGCGCGAGACTGAGACCCCCAACCAATCCTATCTCTTATTTTTACCTTTACCCCTTCGAGGGTCACCTCGCCCCTTGGAACTGAGTTACAAGGGGTAGTGGTTGAAATCTTCCTCTATGAAATGGGACCCTCAAATAAAAAGAACAGTACTTCATTAACTACTAGCGCTGCTCTGTAGGCGACCCTGCCAGTCTGCAGTGATAGCAGAGGTGGGTAAAGATCAGCAACCTCGCTACTGGTCTTTAGTTACATTTTGGGCATCATTTGCCTACAAAGAGGGTTATTTTTTATCATCCACCCGTAATTCTTCAGTGATACGAAACTGAACTCAGCTATTCACCAGCTTCATGTTCGAATTTTCCCGTTCCACCTTAAATGGTGCAGCAAGTTACATTCTGGTGCCTCGGTGTAACTGCTGTACCATTTAAGGTGGAACGAGAAATTTAGCTATCTACCGAGACATCAGTATACTATTAGCGATTTTTTCTGCTTGTTATGAAGAAAAGGACCATAATAAACTGAAATGATGTTAAACTAAGATAATATGATGTTTATCGTAAATTTTTAAAACAGAAAATTCTCACATTTGTGAGTTTCTTTGGTCACTTGTGCAGCCATCTTGCCGTTTTTTCTTTTTTTCTCATGCGTGCCTCTGAAAAACCATTCATTTGGAGGGCCATGTAGTCCTAATACTTCGCCATTATCCTCTATCTCAACAAAAAATCGGGACACCCTACCCCTTCGCATGAATGCGCCAAACGGAGGGGTAGGGCTAAGTGGTAGGAGAGAGGGATTAGACCGGAGTGAAATGGGATTAGGCCTGAGTGAAATGGGATTAGGCCTGAGTCTCTTATAGTACATCAATGCATCTGTAATTTAAAGCAGAGAAAAACACAGCTCTTTATTTGAACTGAAAGAGGGAAAATTTCTGTTTTGGGCTACTGAGGCCCCCCGGGCCATGTGACATTTTGTTGATTGAATGTGTATTTGTTTTCATAGATTTTCAGAGCCCTGTCCTTTTACCAAAACCAGAGCAATGCAGAGCTAATCTTACGGAACCAGCAAAAACGGTCCTGACTTTGTAAAGGGCCTTCACAAAAGCTCCATGATTCTTTTTAAAACTGAAAGAGAGAAGAGAAAAATCTGTTTGTTTCTTTAAATTAAGGTTAGGGCTAGGATTAGGATTAGGCTTAGAAAATTCTTATCAATCAATCAATCAACCTTTATTTTCACTGGAAAATACATTGCTCCTAATTTTCAATGTAGCCAAGTATTTACAACATTAAAGGGATTGAAAAATAAATGAAAATGGAATATAATCCGGTTAAACTACAATAAACAAAACTACAAGAAAAAATGAACAGGAAAGCCAGACAAGATAAATGGCAAAAGAAATAAGATCTTAAGCTTATAACATACTAAGGTTTATTGTTCAGTAACTACAAGGACTTCAATGCAAACTGCTTGAGCTATTCTTAGGTTCTAAAAGTGTGTAATAACACTTTGGGCCCACCGGTGGGTTCTGGGTATTTAAAGAGAACAATTAAGATTTGATTAAGAAGTTTTGTAAGAAATACAAAATAAAACCAAGATAATAACCCATTTAATAAGACTTCAACATAAAAGGATAAATAGGCAAACTAAAATTTAAAAGGTTAAGTAAAAGGATTATAAAAGGTAAGAAAAATAAATAAATAAAAACAGTAATTGAGATTAAAAAAATGAAATAAAATTAAGATTATTGGAAAAAAAGTAAATTAAAATTACATATAGATTAGATTTATAATACATATAGGACATATTATTAGTACATAATGGGCCAAATTCTCCCAGTGCAAATACGATTTGTAACAATTAAGTTACTCTTTTCTTTATTAGATCTTACTAGACCAGGGATCTACAACAAATGTTAAGAAGAGCCATTTTGTCCTTTCAACAAAAATCAAACCACTTTGAGAGGCACAACATTTTATGTCCATTTTACCATCTTGGCTGCAAATATGTTTTAGTATGTGCTAATGTGCTAGTATAGGCTAAAAATATAAAATAAATGAAAACAGACTTAATTTGCTCTGCTTTAAACTTTAGCTCATCTATAGCTGCTTTTCTCGCACCTCTGGCAGGAAACATTTAATCAAAATAGAATAGTTTCTTGTAAAATGTCTCTGAACATTCGACTTTTTATGAGCTGAAGTCAGCTTCTCACTCGCTAGCTTCTTGCTCAAATTTCCCGATCCACCTTAAATGGTGTCTGATGCCAGAATGAAACTGCTGCACCATTTAAGGTGGAACAGGAGAATCTGAACGAGAAACTTACTTCAGCTTCGCAACTTTTTAGTGTTTGACAATTTCTCGTTGCAGATTAAACGTAAATGTTTAACTAAAATGTTTGCTGGAGGGTAGTTTGGGGCCGTGTTGGATTTTAGGTTGGACTATTTGTGTAAAAGAATGATCACTGTCACAAAACACAACAGAAATAGTGACCTTATGTGACACACGCTTGTAGGGCGGCCAACCATAATCAGAGCAACAATGTCTGTATTAAACTTGAGATCATTCAGATCTATTAGAATATCTGCAGGAGCTGCTAAAGGAAATGAGATGTCTTCAAAATATACATGACCTGAAACATTAACATGAATATACATTATCTTTTTGTACACAGAAATGGACCAAAATACCTCCTGGCTGAGATTTCTGCCAGTAAAGGAGGGAAGATATTTTGTTTTAAAATATAAGGGTTCAAATACTTATTCCACTAATGTCTTTCAAACCATTTGTTCAGTGTCCAGTTGTTGTCTTCTAAATGATCAGCAGGAATTCAAGCAGGAATTACACCCCATACCCCACCCCCCGCCACTCCACACAATAACACACAGGCAATTGGAGAAATGTAATAGCAAGTAAATTTTATTTGCTACAAGATTTAGGAAAAGAGTGAAACAATAATTACAATTAATCTGAACAAAATAATAGCTAAGGGCAGTAAAAATACACCAGAGTACAGGAACCCAGAGAGGCCGTGTATTAGTCAAAAAAGGTTGGCACTTCGTAGTGGACAAAGAAACTATACCAGCATGACATCATCACCAGCCACGGCTCAAGAGAAATTAAAATCTTGGTCCCTTTCCTTAGGCCTGTGGAAAGAAAAGCATAACTATCTGTCCCAAACTCAAAGTGAAAATCTTGAGGACCATCAGAAATAAGTGCAACTAACAGCGTTTCGATTCTGTAAGCTTAACGGCCTGAGAATACTCAAACTCCAATTTCACACAGAGGAAATTTAATTGGGGTTTTCTTCTTATGGCTGTAAGCTCCTGATTGACCTACACACACCAGAATTACTAACTACTGATTAGAAAGTTCAAGTCTTACTGTGTTATCAGTTTGAAAGTCAGGAAACACATAACCCGAGGTTCGGGCTGGTTTTCTCCAAGTCAAAGCTCCAAACAGTATACGCTTTTTCAGTAACTGTGCCAACTGTGGCAGTTCACAGCACTGTATTGTTGTGCAGCAGCCCAAAAGAAGAGAGCTTCATGTTTGGAAACGTATAAAATGAACATGATGCTGCTGTCATAACAAAACCTCCCATGCCCAAAACAGTAACTAAAAAAGCAGGGAAAACTGGGGCTGCATTCACGAAAACTTTCTAACTTGTGAAGGTTCTTAAGACAAACACTAAGAAATTCATAAGAATGTTCCTAAATACAATTCTTGAAAAAAAAGTAAGTTCCCAAATATTCTCTTAAAATAATCTTAATTATTTTCATAATATGTTCTTAAGAAAATCTTCTTGTTTTCTGTATGTATGTTTATGTAAGCTATGTTGCATTTTGCCATGTACCATAAACGACACGAGATACATTTTGAATTTGTAAAACTGTTGTTTTCATTACGTTAATATGCTCAGAGGAGCAAAATGGAGGAAAAACATCAAACCAAGCGTTTAAACAATTCAACAAAAACTAGAGGTGATGGTGAAAGAAACAGCCAACAGGAAAAAATCCTCATTGGAAAAAACAATAACTGTGGGGTGACAGCAGAAAGCAAGAGAAAAGAAAATAAGACAATTCTTAAGTTATTAGAAGAATAACATTTTTTTGTAACTTTTTTCTTAAGAATGAAGTTAAGAAAAAACACATTAAAGAAGATTTTCTTTCTTAAGACACGTGAATCTGGCCCTTTAAAAAAAAATTAATGCAAGTTATTGTAATTAGTTTTTATTCCAAGTAACTCTGGAGCATTTCTAATAGTCCATTCACCATGAAATGTCAAGGCAATAAAGCTGGCATTTTCAAAAAGTGACACCACCACCCCACCGCACCCATCAAAAATGGAGATATGAGGTCCTGTTATGACAGCAACACTATTTTTCAACTCATATAGCAGGTGAAACTCCCTGTCATTTGACACTTAGGTAGATGTTAAACTTAAGCTTCTGAGATGCACCTGAATCAGCATAAAGCATTGTACAGCACAACGAGCATTCAGCTGGTTAAAGTGCTCCAAATGCCCTCAGGGCTGGGTTTCCTCAAAAGCAACTCAGCACTTAAATGAATCTTAAATGGTAGAGTGAGCATCACATTGAACACTTTCTCTACTATTTAAAGCAACTAAGCAGTGAAAAACCGAATTTACATAGTTTTACAAATATGCGAGATATAGTTGATCAGCCAAGGCATTTCTGGAGAAATTTCTGCAAATTTTTGCTTCTATAGTTTAGGACTGGAGTTACAAGGCTAACATTGCTAATAAACACTGGAACTCAATAGTCACCCAAACAGTTCTGGTAAAATACATCCCCAAAACCTCTCTCAGCTTGCTCAAATTGCAGCCAGGTCTTCAGTAAGGTTGCGAAGACTTGTCAATGTGGTTTGATACTCACAAAGCAGGACTGATCTCGAATCAGGTTCCTCCATATTTACGGCGGTCACACTCACAAATGTTGACTAGAGATCAGCACTGACTCCTGAGGTGGTTTGTGAATATACATCCTGTTGTTTTAAGTGGCTGCCCAGAGCTTTGTTCATTTTTATAGCTCACAGTCACTCTGTAACTCTGTGTCCTAAACCACATTAATAAGTGTACATGACCTTAATGAAGACCTAGATGTGGTTTGAGCATGTTGACAAGTTTAGGTGATGTTTTTTTTACAGAAACAAACTGAGCTATTTGAGTGATTTTGGAGTCCTAGTGTATGTTAGCAATGTTAGCCTTGTAACTCCAGTCCTAAACTACAGAAGCAAAAATCTGCACTTCGAAAATGTCTTAGCTGATCGATACATCTTAGATCTTTCACTGAACTGTTGCTTTAACTAGTAGACAGAGTGTTCAGTGAGATGCTCACTCTACCATTTAAAAGCAATGTTAGCCTCGTAGCTCTAGTTCTAAACTACAGAAGCAAAATCTGGACTCAAGTATGTCTTGGCCAATTTACTACATCTGACATAAGTGGAAAATTCGTTTTTTTTTTACTGACCCACTCCTTCGTTGATCTTAACACAAAATGCTTTTGGGAAACTGGACCTAGATTAGTTCAGTCATGTTCCAAGTAGCACTGGCCTTTGAAGTGCAGCACAAATTGGCCAATATTCAGGCCACAGAGGGAAGAGATAAGAAAAGCTGATCAGCAACTTAAAACAGAGAAAACTCAACTGCAACCACTGTTTACTCATTTTTACAAAAAACCCACATAATCTCTTTAAAATGTACAAAAGAAGAACATTTATCTTTAATGACTCTTCTACTTGTTTTCAAAGATATTTAAAATAGAAAAAAGGAGAGCAAAGCTAACAAATGTAAGAATGAATCTGGCTCACCTTCATTAATCCTTCTGTGCGTAACATGTAAAAGCATTTGCAATTGAACAGAACAAAAATAACCATTTGAAGCAAACCATTTGAAAGTCTATATAACAATCCTTCAATTAACAAACAAAGAAAAAATATCCTCACTCTTCACAGGAGATCTACTCCGAAATTTTCCACTTTACAAACACGTGGCAAATCTAAAAACTCCCCAAAACAGCCCCCAAAAACAAAACAAAACAAAACAAATAACAGCCTATTTACAAAACCCATTTCAGACAGAAGCACAATGGTCTTTAATAGAAACATATCCCTGGGAACAAGGTACATATGCAGTGCCATGGATCTTAGACTATATCTGCTGAGGTTCAAGGCTGAGTTTTTCTGAACACACTGGGGTTTCAGATAACATATTACAGTTAAGTCCCAATTAGACACTGCAAGCAAGCCTGTTTGATTACTAATGATTACAAAATTCATTAGTAAATGGTACACACTGACCTTCAGTGTGAAATTAGAAAAAGATTACTGAAAGAAACTGTAGCATAGCGTAATAAAGTCATATGTGTATGTTTAGACCTAATTACAAAAAGAAAAAAAAAGAAAAAATAAAAATTAAACCAAATTTGAGATATGAGAACCAAAAAGAATCGAAAGAAGAACCGTTTCCTGGATCAAAGACTTTGGGTGTTAAATACTAATGCAGTTGTAAGGACTCAAGTAGCAGCACGGTCAAGTTTTAATTTCATTTTTTTTTTCTTTTTCTTTTTCTTTTTTTTTTGTCAAAAATGGCTCTGGGCTCAAGTTATAACATCTCGTTCAAGGTGCTTCAGACTGACTTAAAACACAGCAGTCATTTACTACTAATAAAAAATAACCAAAGAACGTTAAATCTTTCTACCCATTATTCAAAGAAACTAAGACACAAAACAGGAAAAGAACAAAAAACTGCCTAACAGGAACTTTAACTGAGGATTTTTATCCACTACACATGTTTGAGATTTTGGTATACAGACATATTAAGTTTGTTTATTTATTTATTTACACTTGCATGCAGAGGCACTGTTGGAGCCACTGTTTCAGTAAGAGCATGCTCAGTTTCACTTTAATGCGCTTTCATCTATATAAAACAACTGAACTGCATTCACCAGCCTCCTAAATGCATATGCACATGGCTTGAGCCTGTGAACAGTCCATGCAGCTTGTAATAATCACCATCTACATTTGTTTCCAAAGGGAAAGAGCAGCTAGTTGAGAAAGAATTTTAAGAGTGCAGCCAACAACGTGGATGTCCTTGGGTCACATTTTTTCTCCCCTAGCCTTCTCTCAAGTCAAGAATATGCACAAACTTGCCAAGTTGAAAAAAGAGTTTGGAAAAGTGAAAGTGTATTTTTAAGATATTTCCGTGTGCATTTACATCTGACATTATTCTAAAAGTAAATTGTAAGCAAAGACATCAGGCATCCAGAGACATCAGCGTAGGTTAGGCTTATAAGGCTAGTTTGATTCCGTTCATACATGCAGACAATAAACCCCTCCCAGAAATGTAGAAATGTACGCTCCCCACTGAACTCCTCCACTGAGGGCTGAGAACATGCGTGACTTTATTTGACTGAGATGCTGAAAAGGGGAAAAGCACATAGTGAATTTCCAGCAAATATGAACAGTCTTTAAGACTGATTTTGTTGTGAAATACAGTCTGTTATGTTATTCATCTTCTCCTACACTTTGTGCTCTCAAAAAAGGTCTAGATGCTCATTTCAAAGAGTTTGGGTTTAAATTTGTTGAATTTGTGAAAGTGACCATTTTATTCTCGGCTGTACTAAAATAGGCTGCAACAGGCAGAGGTGCTTTCATCATTTTGCCCGGCAGAATAACTGTGTTAGCCAAAGGCTACAGAATGTAGACGACAATAAATTTAGATTTGTGGACTGGCTGCTAAAGTACATCTTATCTGGTTAGGACAGGGAAAGATCATATTAGTCATTGAGTCATATCAGTATCGGCACTGATATTGACCTTATTAAACGGACTGGATATCAGTCATACATGACCAAGCCACATTCAACACTATTAGTCTCAGCCATGGCTGTAACAGTGCAATTTGTTTTTATGAATCTTCTAAAATAATGAAACAAAATTGCACAATCCTAAAGAGAATGTTGGTGTTTGACCATGTCCGCTACATTACATTAACCTCTACTGTATGTTAATGTTTATGCTACTATGAAACATGAGTGGCTTAACAGAACATTGGTATCATAGTAGTACTCCATATCAGCTGATACCCTGAATTCAGAGATCAGAGAAAAAACTGGATTGGAGCATGCCTAAATAAAACGTGACAGACAAATCTAGTCTGTGGGCCACAGGTCAGGTAACCCTGGAAACCTGGGTTGCTGTAGATCTAAAAAAATCTGAGCAAGAGTGTTACTTATTTCCTGCCATAATTTTTGAAAGGCTGGGACCTATGAAGACCTGAGAAGCATTCTGATTGGTTTGATGTTGCATGTGTGCAGCTGTGAGTGAACAGATATTACAAAGGGTAAAAAAGAGAAAACGTCAGTGAATATGAAATGAGTTCTATTTGAATTTTAACAAGTTGTTATTTATGTGCCTACATGTTGTGAGGAGACATTCTTGAAAATGACATTTCACCTTAATCCTAGGCTCTGCTCAGGGGATATCTGCTTTGCAGTTGCTAAGGCAACCATATTTAGGCCACATGTGGATAGTCACCTAATCGATTGGAATGATTTCATGATAAAATGATTGGAAAAGAATAAACAGGTACTCTGTCTAGCCTTCACAAGCAGTCTTCATGATTTTTTTAAACATGGCAAAAATGACCAAAATTTTTTTCTATGATTTAACACTACTGATGCTTTTGAGGCTGAAAAAATATAAACTGTCAACTCAAGGCAGGAAGCCCATTTACGGGATCAGAGGCCAAACCTGCTAGGCTATGACCTCTAGGAACTGGAGTCTTTCAGAAATAGCATTTATAACAGGAACAAGTGAAACGAGGACGGCGGATGAATTGTGTTTAGATGATCCATAATGAAGGAAGAAAGTCAGGAGGAGGCGGGCCTCAAACCAAATCACTCTGAGTGGGTGCAGGGCTGAGGGAGGCGTGGTTAGCGGCTGAACCAGAGGCAGGAGCAGACTCTGATTGGACAGGTTCAGGCAGAGTGAGGGTTTCTGGGGCAGATTTCTTGCGAGGACGATCTTTGGGGACGGAGAGGAACTCTGGGGCGTCGGTGTACAGTGGGGTGGATGGGGCGCTTGCTGGACCGTTAGGAGCCAGAGATGAGACTGGCGTCTCACCGATGGAAATGGACGGAGGGAACATTCCGATCTTCTGATTGGTGGCCTCTTGGATCGTACGCTCAAACTCTCTTACCTCATCCATTGTCATGTCTTTAAAAAAGGGAAACCAAAATATTGATGAGTCATCAAAATGGAAGCTTGATTTATTACTTACTACTAAGAACACCATGCACTTCAGAGCTGGCACACAGGATCATGAGGGGTTCCAAACAGCCACAATAGTTTAAGCTTTTTGTTAGCTTTTCCAAAAAAAAACCAAACAAACCAAAGAACAACTTAATTATATTGATCAATCATGTTATAATTTATACATGCCTCAGTTACTGTATTGAGTGTTGGTTACAGCCACAGATAGTGGCTGAATGTTGGGACAGTTTACAAATGAGTGGGATCTCAGTGTACCACTTTTAATTGAGGTGAATAAGAGGAATCCTTGGCATCTCACTGAGGTAGAGGATGTTTAAAAAGAAATCGACACATACGCTGACTTTGTCAAGGGTCCCTAAGCCATCCAGAGATGGAGATGAACTGGTGGAATGCTCTTGCTGGTCATGGCAAACTTTAATGTTGGTTTTCTCATGCATTTGCCTCTCGTACTCCCGAACATCCTCCAAAGCCATATCTGCAAAAAGGGAGGGGACGAAGGTGGCAAAAACCATGGGCATCTTCGGTTAGGGACACTGAGGGTGGGGCATAGTGGTGTTAGGGGTTAGTTTGAGAGTTTGAAGGCAAAGGGATTGAGGATTTAGGCGGATGTGACACGCAGGTGAAAGGTGAGAGGATGTTAGATCTAGACTTTCGAACCTTGAGGGGCTGGTGTGGGGCATCAGTGGGAAAGCTAGCTCAGAGGTTAGTTGAGCAGGGTCTGGACGAGAAGGAGAGAGGGGAGAATCGGGCAAAGGGATGCAAAACCTAAGGAAGGGGGATGGTTAGCATCCCTTAAACTTAGTAAACAGAAAGAATAGCAGATCAAACAAAAGACAACATTCCAAGGGGAAAAAAAACAAACCCTAAACAAAAAATATGACTTCAAAAATGGACAGAGGATCTTCTATCATGCAGCCATAAAGATGTTAGCATCCAAGTAAGAGAAGAAAGGAGAAACATTACAGGCTATTTCATAGATATCAGAGGGTAATCTACGTATTCTTCTTTAGAGTCCACTGATCTGCTACAATATGTAAAGAGAGCAACCTTTTTGTTTCAGCATCAGCAATGTGCACTGCACTTACCAAATGTTGTAGGGTCTACATAGAAACAGGCACCACTCAGGCTCATGCTTTCTACTGCATATGTACAGAATATTTCAAACTATCTCATAACAGACTACGTAGCTGAAACAATGCCCTCCTGAATCTGTTCATCACAAAAAGCTCCTAGAGCAGGCCAATTTTATTGTTACTATTGTTACTGTTACAAAGAATGCTGACATTAGCCAATTTACATGCAATTTTACTTGTAAAAGCCACTCTCTCTGAGATCAGCTTTAATGGAGCTTTAATGTGGTTATTGGACCCAGAGGGACAGAGACCTTTGAGTAAAGCGCACACAAACTCACAGAGGAACACACCTATTATTGTAAATATCTAGCAGAAAAGAAAGAGAGAATGAAGCTCTAACATCAGTTGAACCCAAAACAATAGGAACACACACAGACAGCGAGCCACAGAGAGCATCCATGTTACTATGTACATAAGCCAACATGCATAGATGTTCTATTAAAAGGTACTGAGGCAAGCAGCCCAAACAGTACATGCAGGCCTCCTCAAACGTACCTATCCATTCATCCACCCAGGCAAAGGCCTGTCTATGGCCCAGCAACAGTACGTCTCTCACCACCTGCAGGAGAAAGAGAGACAGAGAGAGAGAGCAAAAGAGAAGAGGGACAGAAAAGGAGAAAAAGGTGGAGAGAAAGGAGAGAGGAAGAAAAAAGATAGAGGGGAGGAAAAAGAGGGAAGACAAAAGGAGAGAGAAAAAACAAAGAAGGAAAAGGGAGAGGGGGAGAGAAAAAGAGGGGGTGAAAAAAAGGAAAAGAAGGGGAATAGTAAAAGAGGAGAGAGAAAAGTAAAAGGGGAGACAAAAAGAGAAAGCAAAAAAGAGATAAGGAGAGAGAAAGGGGATAGAAAAATGTGGGGTAAAAAGAAGGACAGAAAAAAGAAAGGGAGGAAAAGTGAGAGGAGAGAAAGAGAGGATAGAATAATAGAGAAATGAACAGGAAAGTAGGGGGAGAGAAAGAAAGTGGGAAAAGAAAAAGAGAGAGAGGGAGGGAAGACAGAATGGTAGAAAAGAGGTGGGGAGTTATGACAATATAACACATTGTAATGTCAAGCTCTTTTTTAAAATATACACCGGTAAAACGGCAAGTGTCTCATACCTTGTGCACAAACTGCTCGACGCGTGTCTGGAGGCCCCACACCTCAAACTTGACAGTGACAAGTTTGTAGGAGCACATGATGGGGTTCTGCGTGTCCCGCCAGCCTTCCTGCAGCATGCCGCGAGACGTCTTCTCCGATTTAAAATAGCGCAGGTCCTGCTCATCCACAAACATGTTTTAAAGATTAGTATGTCATGTTCAAAATACGTAGCATATAAAGTTTACTTGTTCTGACTGAGTATGGCCGTTGAAGAATGAAATTGGGGCTATTTCAACAGTGCACATGTGAATGAACAACTGAATAGTTAAACATCTTAGCTTTACAGTGCTTAACATCTGGGGTGTAATTAACCAATTCATATCCAACAGTTAAGTGTATTACAATAAGGAAAAATACCACATAACTTGATTGGTGTAAAGTGATGAATTTTTGTGTAGTTATGCCTTGGATGAACATGTAATAGTTTCTGATCACATGTAATTTTCATTTTTTCAAAATCAAATCTTGATTTTCTATCATTTTGTTAAAAATCAGTAGTGCTATGTGAACCAAAGACGAGATTTATTATGATAGATTAAAGCCAATGTTTCAAACACACATTGGCTTTAAGTCAGGAAGTCAGGCACATGGCCCAATCCTATTCGGCCTGCAAAATAATTTTAATTTTCTATTAATTTTAGCTCATTTTACCATGAGCTGCACTACCCAGCATGCACTGCAACATAATGTGTGCTCCCACCCCTAACAACGATCTATGGGACAGCGCCACAAAAAAAAAGTGTCTAGTTCAAACGAATGGTCAGCTTTAAAAAACCACTGCTGTACATCAGGGACATTTGATGACTATAAGAGCTAATGCACTCTATTGTTTTATATAAACAAGAGTTTATATTTGTTTTCATTTACATTTATTTTTGAATCGTTCAAGTATTCTTGCTGCTGTAGTGTTGGCACATTTTGAATAAAGAATGGCCAGTTGGTGTCAGGGCAAAATGTTAAGCAAAAATAAAATAGAAACACAGCTTGTTTATCAATTTGTTGAGATTTTTCAATATGGCCCTTTTAGAGGTTGAGTTTGACACCCCCGCATTAAGAGATAAAAGCCCACCTGTTAGCAATGTGGTTTGACTGGTTTGAAAGATTTCTTTTGTGCTGAGGCAAGCTCAGAGAACAAAGAGCAAACATTCCACACATGGACATTAATGACTTCAAGGAGACCCCTTGAGTTAGTTTACACTTCTCACCTCTGACTCCTTGTAATAGCGCTCTGGAATCTCATCGTATGCAATGTCTATGAAACACACTTCTCTCTCCTGGTCCTTCAGCTCATTATCAAAGATCTACACACATGAGAGACACTCAGAGTTAGTCACCTGCTGAAGCAACACTAAACTCATTTGCCCAAAAAGAGAGTAAAATTAGACATTTAGCTTAAAGCAGTACATTCGTTTAACAGCACAGTAGAATAGCATTAAATAGTCCACAACAAAATAGAACTGTGTCCCCAGGAGCATAACCACAGAGAGACATCTGTAACTGTAAAGTGAAATGCCCTGGGTTACATGCAATTAAAATCAACCCCAAGCTTTTGGGTTACTTCATCAGTGGTTCCACTAGGGGGAGTTGTTGGTTAAATGTTTATATATTCCTTTCACTCATTATTACATAAGACTCTAATGCTGCCTGGAGGATGCTTGAGACTAAGTAGTACTTCATGGATCTATTTTTTGGGAATGATTTTAGACATCTCACTACAACATTCAATTATAATTACAACTACAAAGCACTGTGACATTAGAAATGTTACTTTTAGTAGGAGAAACTCTATGCATTTGTTTTTTACAGAAGAGGACTGGATCCCCAAATTGCTTCAAGATGGATGCTGCTCTCTTTTAAGACTATCTAATAGAAGCTGTGTTCTCAAGTATGTCTTAAATGTAGAATAAATGTATGTATTAAGAGTGCAGAGCTGATGTAATGGGATTGGATTAAGAAGTGCCGGAGAGAGGCTGTAAGTGTGTCTCAGTGGGGGCAGTGTGCTCACTCTAGCGAGCTGGTGTTATCACACTGTGCTTCGGGGGAAGAATGACGACACACCCACACACACACACACACACACACGTACAGGGAGAAAGACAGGATGAGAGAGAGTGTAGGGAAGACAGTTCAACAGGTTCACACTGACTGTAATACTTGCAGTTGCCCCAGGAAAGTCTCTGATAGTCTCTATATACAGGAAAACCACCGGCGGTAAATGAGCCCCTGCAAACATGAAGATGACACCTCCGAGAGCTGAAATCGGCTCATCAGATCTCTGATGGCCAGATGTAATAAGCCTTTTGTGCCAGTTTCATGACGTATTTCTGACCACGAGTTATCTACGGAGCTGGTGTATGGGCCTAAATGCGCATGTACATGAAAAAAAAACATGAAAAATGTTTCCCGCTCTCATATAAACACATCTGCAGTAGGATCACACAAAATGTGGGACGACTGCGTAAAAAATGCATGGTCATATTGATTTACTGAAGTTTGGGCAACTGGTTTTGCATGGGATTTTCTCCATCTCTTAAAACCAGTCGTAAAGTTGGGGTAGTGTCTCAAATGTTATTGGGAAACTTCCTTTAACAAAGGCAGCAGTCATAGCAGCTACGCATAGTTGCAGGGCTTGAACATGTGCTTAAAGAACATTTGCTAGCAGAATAATGCAATTTCAACTCTCAGGCTGAGATGTATGTGAGAAGGCACATAACAATATTTGCTTTTTCCCAATCTATATTTCTAGAGTAGAATTACACTCCAGTGGAATGTTTTGCTGGAAAAAGAACTTCACTGATTAACCCCCCTAATGAGTTAACTATCGTCACTGTCTCTTTTGTCTTTTGTCCTGTGTTTGTTGATGGCTCCTTAGTTTCACAGCAACTTTCTCAAGTCTGTGGATATGGCCTTACATGCAACTTGCAAAAGGAGCTGGCCTTGGTAACCTGAAATGTCATTTCAAGCTAATTATGAACACATACTGTGGCTGCATCAGGTCACCTGAATTCAACAATTGGGAGGGGTGTCTTTTTGGCCATATAGTGTATGCGACTGAGACTCTGGCAGAAAGCCAGACATCTCCAAAAATGTTGCACAAGCTACACTACATGAGGACATTTGACCAACACACCTATGTGAGCTTGTTGGACATGCAACTCCAAAACCATATGCATTACTATAGATTTGTCCTGGCTTATAGCTGTAGCAGCCTCCACTCTTCTGAGGAGGATTCCCACAAGATTTTGGCGTATGTGTTAGAAATTTGCGCTCATTGCTTTGTGCACAGGGGCTGGAAGAGGAAAGAGTATTCACCAAACGTCTGCTACAAAGTTGGAAGCATATTATAGTGTAAAATGTCTTTGTATGCTGTAGTATTAACATCACCCCTCACTGAAAAAAAGTGCCCTAAACCATGAAAAACAGCTCCAGCCCATTATCCCTCCTCCACCAAACTTTACTGTTGGCACTATGCATGAATCTTAGCATTCCAGCACACAGATTCTTCTATCAGACTGCCAGATATTGAAGTGTGATCTATGACTCCAGAGAAGTTTCCACTGCTCCAGACTCCAGTGGCAGCGTGCTTTACACCTCTCTAGCTGACACTTGGCATTGCGCATAGTGAACTTGGGCTTGTGTGCAGATGCTCAGCCATGGAAACCCAGTTCATGAAGCTCCCGATGTGCAGTTCTTTGGCTGATGTTGCTTCCAGATGTAGTTTGAATCTTTGTAGTGAGTGATGCAACAGAGGATAGGCGATTTTTACACACTATGCACTTCAGCACTCGGCGGTCCCGCTCTATAAGTTTGTGTGGTGTACCACTTTGTGGCTGAGCTGTTGTTACTCCTAGATGCTTCCATTTCATAATAATAGTACTCACAGTTTCCTGGGGCAGTAATTTTATGTGACTTGTGGCAAAGGTGCCACCACTATAAAAGTCACTAAACTCTTCAGTATGACCCATTCTACTGCCAGTGTTTGTCTATGGAGATAGCACGGCTACATGCCTGATTTTAAACACCTGTTAGTAATGGGTGCAGCTGAAACACCTGAACACGGGTGTGTTTACATACTTTTGGCCTCATAGTGTATGTGACTGAGACTATAGCAGACAGACTTTTTTGTTTTGCCCTGCATCTATAATGTTGGTGATTGGCCTTTACACAAGAATTAAACTATGTGTATTCTCAGACTTTGGAAAGAAGAAGTAAATGTCTCTGTGTGCCGGTTTCTATATGAACTGTCAGACTCCACAGACTTTTCTTTTTTAAGAGTCAGGTGCTGATGGTGGAACTTCTGTGTTTAGAGTATTAGGTCATCGCACCAATATATTTTTTTTCACAACAACTAGGTCCATGTTACCTAAGTTCCAGGTGATATTACTGTTTTGCAAAGCAGATCTGCAACCCACCCAATTAAGCATCCTGGGGAAGAACTCACCCAGGGAGGGGTGAATGCATATCACATATCAGTTGCATGCAAAACGAATAATTTTAATGGTTAAGTCTATATTAAGTCTATTTGAAGTCACACTAATGCTGCATATGTAGCACAGACTTGGTTCATGCGCTTGTGGTTCATAATAGAATTTGCTTCGAACATTTCAACCTGTGCATAGGCTGGTTTATGTGGTGGCCTTGTTGTGAATCAAGGAAAAGGATAAAGCATCAGTTTAAAAGTCTAAAGATGCACTGGAAGATGCTGAAGCTTCTACTGTGTGTAAGACCCTCTGTGGTACTGCCCTTATCTATGGACATGGAGAGCCCCCAATCGATACCTGACCTAGCAAGACGGGGGTGGGGGGGTGTGACAGAATGTGAGATAAAATGACCAAATGAGTGAGCAAGCGAGTAACTGAGAGAGAGAAAGTGAGTGAATGAGAGTGAAAAAAGGGAGAGAGAGTGCTGACGTGAGAGAGGGTGTGAGAGTGAGAGTGCGTGAAAGAGAGAGAGTGGGGTGAGGGTTGGAGTAGAGTGGAGGGTGTGAGAGTGATCAAGTTGCACTGAAGGACAAATGTCAGCCTCCCCTTTAGAAAGAAAATACAGAGAAACGCACAGAGAAAAGAATTGCTAAGTACAGCAAAGAGTCTCTAATGCTCTCTCATTTACACGGGAGCATGCATCCACGCATACATCCACACATACGTAATTATTTTACAGTCGCATGTGAGTTTCAATACTTCTAGTCAAATTACATTTTTTGTTAATGTTGAATTTTGAAAGTGAAAATATGTTAACACATCTTCTACAGGAAACAAACCTCACTTAGCATGTCTGCTATTTTTAGTGCACAGTTTCTATTTATTTTCTGAGTTCTGAGTGTGCCTAAACTCTTGCACAGGCCACATTTTACGTTTTATTTTGTTTCCAACATGTTAAAAAAAACAGTAATCGTGAATTAATTCGCAGAGGATGTTCACTTATTTTTACTTATAAAATTAACAAAACGTAATTTGACCAGATGTAACAGTAATACGTCCCATAATTATACTGGTGTCGTCATATCAAAGCTTTTATTTTGCCTTATTATCTGGTTTTGGCCATTAGAAATAGTTTTAATTACAACCCCATTTCCAAAAAAGTTGGGACAGAATGCAATGATGTGCAAATGATGTGCAAATCATTTAAATCCTATATTTAATTGAAAAAATACAAATAAGTTATCATTTTTTTTACATTTTACATAACATCCCAACTTTTTTGGAAATAGGCTTGTACACTGCTATATCTTGCTACATTAATTGTTAAAAGCTTTTGTCATTCAATATGTCGTATATGCACTGAGTATAAATAAATATATACAATATGTATAATACCATATATATATATATATACATATATATGTGTGTGTGTGTGTGTGTGTGTGTGTACCCATGTGAAACAATGTCCTATATTTACTGTGTATGCAAATACCAATATGTAATTACATGTGCCACATGTACTATGCATCTGTAAGTACTTACATGTAATAATGATAGGACCATTATGTATTACATATCTGTAAGTGTCTATATGTAATAAGATTATTTTAAGCCTAAACTTAAACATAGCCCTAACCTTAACTTCAGACACCAAAAAAATGTTTTTTTCTCTTTTAGATTTAAAAAAGATTCATAGAGCTTTTGTAAAAGCACCATTTTTGTTGGTTCTGTAGGTTATCTCTGGTTTTAGTATAAGGACAGGACATTACTTGCCCTGAAAATGTTTAAAAAACGAACACAAACACACACTCACATGCTTATTATTTTCATCACTTTATGATCTCTTTTCATTCAGTCTTTCTGAGAGAATGATTACAGTGAAGGGCAAAACTGATATCACATGTTTACCCTGCTCTCAGTTAGACTTGGGGCAGCTGTGGCACTTTACTGAGATTGTTAACAGCCATCAACACAGATATAAAGAAAAACAGAGACTCATGATAAAGAATGAGAAACAAACATCAGTCAAAGAAGAAACAATTAAAAAACTGAAAAATGGTGCGATCATGAAAAAAAAGGAGACTAAGGTTATGTTGACAGTCTGAAATTCAAACCTGAACACTGGGTCAAATACCAGGTCATTACAGCACAGCAGAAACTGATATGTGACCTTTGAAACATTTTATACGATTAAAAACTCCAAGAAACTTTTTTACATAATAGCCAATAACAAGACTATTAAGGCTATAAATATATATGCCAGGAAACTCTTATTTCATTATTTTGCATTTGCATAATAACTGAAAAAAGAGCATTCTCTAACGCAGCCTTGCACTGAACACAGAGGAAAGGTGAGCAGTAAACCGCTACTACTAGTAGCTAATAGTAGCAGACTTTCTTTGTAGCACTTGTTAAATGATGTAAAGTGAAATTTGCAAGGGATTATTTGTTGCCCTGGGTCAGAACTGAGTGATACAAATACTCACTCATATGGAATTTCTTTCATAGCAACATGTTAAAGCTATTAAAGAAATTAAAATGACATTTTTTGGTGCATTGAAAAACTGTCAGCTCTACAGTACTGTGCAAAAGTCTTAGGCATTTGAGAAAATTATATGTAAAGCTATGTATCTAGGCAGTAAGCAGTTAATAGGAAAAAACATTAAAATAAAGCAAATAAACAATATCTTATGATTTTATGTCTGTCAGTGATTTAGCTTAACCATTTCCAAAGCTTTCCTTGAAGAAGTCCAGTATTTACTGTTACCAAATACCTAGTTCATGTAAATAATCCTTTATTAAATTGTATCAGGTGCTGCCGATGGAATTCAACAAATCCATGCGATGGCTGGAGTAGAGAGACAAGTCAGGAACCAAACCTGTGTTACAGGTTACTGTATTTTTCTAATAACTTAAAAACAAAATATTGTTTAATTATACTTTATGTTTATTTGTATTTATTCTTTTTTCTGGCACTTACAACACACAAACAGTTTTAAACAATTTTTATGGCTCTCAAAGACGTGCATAGTATTTTATGTTTCATACTTTTTTATTGTGCCCATATGATAAATATTCTTGACACAACTGATATAAATAATACATTAATCAGTAAAGTCTTTCACATTAAAAACATCTCTTAAGCCCTATTTGACCCGCAGTAGTTTTACCTGGGGAGGTGCAGTAATTTGAATGATTCCCAATAAGATCCGTGATTTTAATCTAGTTCGAATCTGCAATGTCCATAGTTTTTACAAGTCTGCTAAGTAATACCTCTGGAGCGAATTAACTTCTATAACTCGCCAAACTCTGAGCTCCCTCAGTAATAGTAGTCCTGTTCGAATCAACAACACAGTAACAGAGTAATAACAGGACTGTTTTCTGCAACCTGTAGTCAAGGCTAACAGCTAAAATAGAGTTTGACTTAACTCGATTCATTAATTCTCAAGTTCATGACAAAACTACAGAAATCCACAACATTTTTAGTGATGGCTAAATTACAAGGAGAAGGAAAATTAAAGTCCCTTTTGCAAGGCAATACGTTTTCTGTTTTGTCTGGCATTTTGTAAGTTGAATGAACCCACTTTACTAGCCTAATGCTAGTCTGTAAGTCATTTAGCTGCACAGCCTTTTGTTATTGTTCGGAACTGAGGTGCCTATCGAATAATGCAGGCTCTTTGGTTAAATTACACAGATCCTCTATCTAGTAGGAATCGGCCAGTTAAAACACTAACACATTACATGACTCCTGTGGTAAAACTAATCCAGCTCCAATAGGGCTTTAGTTGCACAGGACTAGTGTGTGGATGAGTGCAGTGCTGTACAAAAAGTGAGAGATCACCATTTATTTATTTAATTTATAGTCAAAACAGCCATTTAGTACAAGTTATTAAGTTTTCAGCATCAGGATGAAAAGGATAAAATACATGTTACTACACAGAAACCTCAAAAACTAAATATAATATCAAATGTGGGTCCAATCACTGCCTTTATTACAGCTTTCATTCTGTTTTGGGAGACACACTTTCAGCATTACAAAGAAATCTGCAGGGATATTTTCCACACCTCCAATGTTCAGTCTTGGACGTTGGTTTTGCGTTTTCTGTTTTCCACAATCCAAGTAATCCCAAACACATTCAACAATGCTGAGGTCTGTGCTCTGGGGTGGCCGGTGCGTTGTTCCGTGAACACGTCTTTGTTTGGCAAAGATGAAAAGCTCACACCTGAAAGCTCTAAGTACTGTTAGGAGTCTCTTTTCTCTGTATCTTTTCATAATTTTTTAAACTCAAGTATTGCAAACCTATCTTCTGTTGACTTTCTCTTTCTTTATGAAAGTGTATTATGGCCATTTTGACTGAAAACTAAATATATGAACAGTGGTCTCTGAGTGTTGCACAGTATTGCATTTATCAACGTCTCTCAGCATTCAGACACTGATATCCTTCAGTCTTTTGTAGTTTTTTTTATCAGGTGTGCTATCAAGAGAGGCTCTTAGCGATATTGTGACAAATGGTCTGCAGCATTCTTTTACTGTATGCCAGCAAAACGCTCACTTAATGCAGGAATCAATTCAGGGCGGCACGTGGGAAGACAGACACACACACACACACAGACTGACAGATGAAAAAAGAGATGACACCCTGCTGAACCCTGGGTGCGCTGGGAGAGAAAGAGAGGTCATGAGAGAGTTAGAGAGAAAGAGAAAGAGAGAGTGAAAAGAGAAAAGAGGAAAAGCAAGAGAGAGTGAGTGTGTCTGTGTGTGTGTGAGAGAAAGAGATACAGAGAACGACAATGAGCTTCTAGTGATGGCTAAGAGTTTTTAAAGTGCGTGCTGGGAGCTGAGACTAACAAAACCCACTAACGCACATGGAAGTTGTGGGGGGGGTCCAGAAACGTTCTCGCTATCACACACATACACACACATACATACAGCAAAACAAAACAGGCACAGAAAGGCAGGTTTAGTACCAATGTACTCACATTGTCATTGCATCCTTTATTGTCTTCATACTTGGTTTCTATGTGGATGGAGAACTTTGGCAAAAACGAACACTGAAAAGAGACAAGGTGAGAGAAAGAGAGATGAGAAAGGGTGAGAAAAGTTGCTGCCCAGTGCTCTCTTCAGATCCTCTTAATGGATGGGAGAATTTGAAAGCCCTAAGGCCCTGTGGACTTTTGCAGAAACTTAGGTGCCAACTCAACGTGTCCGCAGGTCCTGATGCTCTGCTCACAAATGCATTCTTTTGTAGCCACTGTTGCAATGCTGGACAAACTTTACAGAACACTGTAATCGAAACTGCACGCTGTAAACAATGATGAATTTGCACCATTGACAATTATCGCCTAACACACAGAAAGCATTAACAATTTTTAACAGCACAAAACTCTAAATATTGGTGCTCTGGTAAGCTTGTCCAACCTAGCAACAGTTGCTATGATAAAGCACAGATAGATCAATTAATATCAGTTCTGATTTTAGATCAGGCCTAACAGGAACCCTCTAAAAGGGCAAATAGAGACTGACCATAGCAGACTTGGAGAATTCCTTAAAATAAGGTGCATGTGTGAATTAGGTGACTTTAATCTGAGCATGAGGTTTTACGTGGTCTTCTCTACGAGACCATTAAAGCTATTAATAACAGCACAGGAACAAGAAGACAGATTTCCATGGCAACTGCTTTACGACAAAGAAAGTTCCACTGTTGCTGAAAACGACACCTTAGGAAGCGTGGGCGCCTGCTGGCTTCAGGACACACTTAGATGGGGGAGGGAAGTAGGGAAAGAGAGAGAGAGAACGAGGATGGGGAAAAGAGCGAAAGACATGGAAAGAGAATGATGGAGAGAGAAGGAGAGAAGGAGAGACAGAGGAGAGAGAGTTAAATGGATAAGAAAGTGAGAGGACGAGTGAAAGTGGGGACCCTCTCCCTCGTGAGTCATTTTTTCTTCCTGTTCATCCACCCGACTCCACCCCCTGACACCCCCACTGTACAGAAATAACACGGAGTGACTCACTTTCAAGAGTTTTCCTAGAACTTACAGAGTTTGAGACCAAATGCATTTATCACGACACAGGCCCATTTAACCAAATCAGGAAATCTCAGTGGGTGAAACTTCTGTACCATTTGACATGAACAAACAATCACCTTGTTTACAGTACATGACTCAGGCCTCTATATAAAATGACTATGGTTCTGCAGTAGCATATGCCCAGCGTATACAACCTGTATACCATATGTCATGCACAACTATGACAGTGGTGCTCAGTCGGGTCATTTAGATATATCGACAGCTATTACATTACACCTGCTCACCAGTAAATGGAAACAAGTAATTATCATTATCGGACTATTTCGGAAATTAAAGCTGATAATTACAATGCACATTTATGCATGCAGTCATTAGTGGTCACTATTTCTGTATGAACCTGTCTCTGTACATTTTAAAGGGCAAAAAAGTAAAAATATCAGGTATTAATATTAGCATCAGACATAACAAGGTGTATCTTTCTGATACTGCCTAACACCACTTAACTATATTCACCTTAACAACGGATTTAGAAGTACTGGAAACAGGTATTGCTGTGCAGAGTTTGAACAAACACCTGCAGACAATGCAGCCCTTGATGGAGCTACCAGCTCTTCACAAAACTGTTCAGAGGAGGCGGAATGTAAACTTACTGTGTATTCTGCAGCCGGATGAATGAGCGGGAGCAGGATCAGAAGCAGACGAGAGCAAACAAAAGAGCAAAAACACAGTCAGCATGTTAACTTCCAGCTGAAAATAAGGAACAAACTTCACAAGGTGAAATGTACCAAGAATGACTGCAACGTGTAATTAAAATGACCAAGTGGCACTATCTGCACCTCTAAAAGAACAAGCTCACTCAAAAATGCTAAAATGCTAATGATGAAGTGCAGTTTGGGGACTTGGTGCTTCCCAAATAGATCTAAAACTCCTCAGCTATATTATTTTGTACTGAAGCTATTAAATGTAACGATAAAGGCACAGTAATATGTATTAATGTGTCAGACATGTATGGATGTGTTGCCAAATGTTAATATTTACCTTGATGATTTAGGCTAATTCATGTAGTTCTCTATTGTCTGTTGTCTCATGGTTTTGTAAAACTGTCTGCCATCTGAGGCCTTCAAATAGCAGCCTTTAAATTTTCAAAATGTCAAGGTAGTCTACAGCCTTGTAAAACTCTCACCTTAATCTGCTCTAGCAGGGCCGGACAGGATCTTGTAACAAGAGTCTGGTGACAACCATGAGAAATTTTGGGCTAAATGTGGGTGGGAACAAACTGTCTAATTTGTAAACCAATCCAACCTCCAAGCTCAGAGTAGGGGTTGATGGTGCTCTTGTCAACAATGTCCGACAGACAACAAGCCATTAGCACATCGATGTTAGCATGGCTGAAAGGTCCCTCCAAAACCCCACCAAATAAGCAAGTAGATGTCGCATGTGAAAAGAACACGACATGAAACATTGTCTCTTGTATGGGAAAAACGGTTCTGTTCACTAATAACAGCATTTTACTAGATAGCTTGTTTTGCTTTTGTCGGTTGTACTCCAGGCGTTAAAAGAGCACAGACTAGAGGAATTTGGGGGCGGGTTTTAGAGGGAGAACACCCTTGTTTATAGTAGATTTTGCTGTAGTCTAGCACCAAAACATTACTCGTTATAAGATCACATCTGGCCCTGTGAGACTAACCCTAATGTAACCTGGCTCCAATATTCAAATGCGTAATAAGGCCTTGATAAACTACTTCAGATGTGTTTGGGATTTTAGACTTTAATCTTATTTATGCAGTGATGAAAATTTTCAACAGCAAAGCAGGAGACTGCTGATCGATATTATATAGCCTTCATTTACTGCACTCTAAGTAACCTCAGCTGCTGTAGTGCAGTTCTCTCAATTTCTCCACTTTAATCTTCTTATGGCAAACTGACAGGGTGTTACAGAAAATCCTTCCACTAACATCTTCTGATTATTGACAGGGTATTATAGGAACTCTTGTCATTAACATCTCCTGTATAGGTGCCCTCATAGTCAGCGTGTATGTACAGACAGTAGAGGAGATTCATTCACACTTAGAAATATATCCATCATCGTAACAGACCCAGGGCAGATTTCATTAACTCCTCTAATACTTCCTGATGTCTGCTGCCAGAGATCTTCACCCCTCATCACTGCTGAGGGAAATAGGAACATGGTGCGGCTTTTGCACTTAACTAGCAGAAGCCTCAGCCATAGATGTTGAAACATTCTGAAAAGACAGATCACTCTACAAAACCTCATTCAACTCCTCAAGGCTTTCGTGAGCTGGGTCAGGCACGTTATGGCATTAATGGCAGCAACTGGATTAAGAAGCACCAATGTACCATTGCATGTGTATGTGTATGTGCAAGTGTGTTACCTGTAATAGTGTAAGGGTAATAGTTCCATGCCTTCTCTGTCACATAGAAGATTCTGGGCACCACTGCTCTTGCCCAACTGGGCAGTTTGCTGGAAAACAGAAGGAGATTTTATTTATTTATTTATTTTACAGCTAAATAAAAGATGAGTAGAGAACTGACTATATTTCAGTACTACCAGTAGGGCTGCAGACTATGTATTGCTATCATTGCATATTGCAACTCTCTACAATGTCATGCAGACCCCGAGATGGACCAGATGCACCACAGCTGCTCTAGAGGCTCTTTCTCTTTCCTTTACTCCTTTGTGTTACCAGAGGCTTCCTTACTTCACCAGATACTTTCTAGTCATAAAAAGCCCTGGCCAAAAGGACATAATGCAGCCTTTCAGAGCAGCGGAATAGACCGCACATCAAGAGTGCTGCCCCTATTTCCGTAATGGATTTTTCCTCTGTAATGTAAAAGCCAAAGAAACTAGCTGTATCTCTATTATGAAAGAATTTCAGGGACTGAAGTGCAATAACATTTCTCTCTCTCTCTCTCTCTCTCTATCTCTCTCTCTCTCTCTCTCTCTCTCTCTCTCCTGCACACACACACAGTTCTGTTTTTATACAATGTCAGGACACGGAGTTATACATATATCCTGTAAGTACCCATATGCAATAATAACATGACCCACGTACATTATTTACACGCAAGAACCTAAACGTAGTAATAAAATGTCTTATACTGTACTGAGCAAAAGCCACCTGAGAAAGTCATACATAAATTCATTTGTATCTGGGCAGTAAGCATAAAGTTACATTTTACTATATTTGTGTATTCATATTGACTGTAATGTTATGTAGTGTATTGGCAAAAGTACAATGATTGCAGAGATAAATGATTTTACACACTTTTCTTGTGAGGCTTTTGCACAATACTGTATATATATACATATATATATATACATATATATATATATATATATATATATATATATATGTATGTGTGTGTGTGTGTGTGTAAGCTCCCTACCTTAAAAAATAACACTCTTCTTTACCATTCCCTTTCTGTCCCATACACAAACACACACACACACACACACACACACACACACACACAAATCTTCACTTCTCTCTCATACACCCCCCTTTTTCCAGTTACCCATGCTTCATGAGTGATAGGGTTCACCTTATCAACTGAATTGCTGCCTTCAGTTCAGGCCAGGCTTAAAGAAAAGGTGAGAGAGTAGGACGGAATGGGAGAAATATGAAGGGATTCAGAAGAACTATAAATGGACAAAATTTGTTTAACCTTTCCATCCTCCCACACAAACACACACAGGTGTGCACAAGTTCAGATTTGGGACTGAGAGTCTGTTTCTGCCATCACAAACCCATTTCCAGTTCTCTGATGACTCAGTGGCCCAAATTAAATGATCATTGTTGGTTCGTTTGTCCTGCTGGAATTATGAACAACGTCCAAACTCTCCTAACAGATGCATGCCTATTGAATACCCACTACAAACAATAATGAAGGAAATTAGGGACATTTTAAGAAAGAAAAGGTCTGAGATAAAAAAAAGGAAAAAATCAACATTTTCAACCACCTGACAGGTGGGTACATGATTCCATCAATTAGACTATACGTGCACATAATTGTACCATGATCAAAAGTGTGGATCTGGCTGATATCCAATCCATTTGACGGTTAGCATTGTTGCCAATATGCATCAATATACTGTACAGAGTGAACACAATAATGCTGCACTGAAAACTTTACAAAAATCAATGGTCAACTGAAATGAAGAGATCAAACAAAGAAGAAATAAACTGCCTGAACTGCAGAGATATTTTATATAGACAGCCTGAAGATTATCACTGGCATATGGAGTCAGTGCACACCATATCTCCAGTTCCTCCGGGTCCCAGAAGCTCCTGCCTGTTTTAACAGACGCACGCCTATTAAGGCCTGCCACTAACAGTACGTGCTTTTTCGGCGCGTGTGGGTGGGCTGAGGTTGAATTCACCCAGAAACTGGCAACATCAGAAGCAATTAAATGCAACACCCTTTGAAGACGACTGTGGCTTCGGCTTCATTCCGTGAGCTGAGCTTTAAAAAAAAAAAAACCCTCCCATTTAATTGGCAGGGAACATAGCGACAGTCTCCGAGGGCAACAGCACGGTTGTCAAGCCCACGGTTTTTCACACCAGAGCGGTTTTATTGGTGCTGGCCAAGCTTTTCCTCACAGGCTGCCGAGGGGGAACGACTCCCCCTCAATCACAACTTCACCAAACTTATTAATCATCTCCCAATAACTCACTGGCTAGTGCTTAATGGTACTGAAAAAGCTCCAAATATATCACAGTATTTCATTTTTAACTAAGCACTAATAAAGTTAATGAACCCCTGAGAACTGGTACACACTAAAAAAACTGACAAACTTGACACACAACTTGTTTTGACTATTTTGTTCTTTTTTTTTTTTTTAATTAAACCAAATTAAACCAAAAGGAAATTTACACAGTATTGTAAGCAATAGGCACACAATCTTTAATGTATTTAGTTTTTATGCATTCTGAACTGCTCCTTTCATCTGAAGTGTCAAACAAATGACATACATTGCAGCTAACTGTCAGATTCTCTCTAAATTGTGCAAAATAACTACCACTAACAACACTGGGACAGCTGATCAAATTGGTGTACAGTTGGTAGAAAGGGGGTCTGGGAAATCTGCCTAGATTGCCCTTCCCAAGAAGGATCTAGAAGCTTCTCCCTTGGTATGGATTATCAGCAGAAGGCTCTAAAAATGTACCAAACTGTCCATCAAATATCTCCAAATGTCTCCAGCAGCAGAGGCCAAGTATTTTTACTGCATTCTGCTAGAGAGTCCAGTGTAGAAAAAACTTTCTGTAGGTTGAGCTATGCAGAGTTTAATTAGCATAATACTAGAATGGATTTCAGTTTGATAACCTGTATTACCTAGAACATTTAAAATGGAAAGGTTAATCCCATGAAACCAAGAGTCGGACTTAAAAAACAAAAACAAAACAAGAACAAAAAAAAAAAAAAATCAAAGCCACTCCTTTATATGTGCCAGCTGAGAATTTTGCCTTTGTTAGATTGCACTCTTTACATGTTACAATAACAATGACAACAGCATTGAAAAATTAGATAATTAACAAAGAAGAACAGATTAAACAGCTGAAATATCCACATTTTTTCCTGGGATTAAGGTTAACAAGTTCATTTACGTTTTCTTTGGGGTGAACTAATATAAATTGCTTCAGAAAACAAAGTTTCGAATATATGCTCTATACCCATTTGGTCAGACTGCAATCAGCTTTTTTGCTCTACTTTTTAGAGGGGGATATTCGAGGGATGAACATCGAATCAACAAGCACAAGGTGGGATTTCAACAGTCATTCAGTCAGACATTGCTTTAGTCCAAACAGAACTCGAGGCTACTGAAATGGAGATGATGTATTATAGGATATTCAAATCGACATTCACATCACCATACCAGCCCTTAGAAGTGCAGCATACAAGACTGAAGAAATGAGACAGGATAGTTTCTAAAATCATTTTAAAAGGCTTTAGTATATCAGCTGATTATCTATCTTAGAGCTGTAATGTCCCCAACTAATCCCTGTCTTCAGGAGCAGATATATTAACACTTATTTTGCTGAAAAAAGATCGAAAGAACAGCCACTGCAGATGGAGCACCAGGGCTGGTCAACATGACCTGAAAATCATTATTCTGGCATTTTACAGGACTCTGGTGCTATCAATAATGAATATATTACCCAAAATACTATGAAAAGAATATCTTTTCACACATCTACTCATGACAAACTGGACAGAGTTCTGCAATGATTTAATATGACACAAAGGTGCATCAAAAAGTCTGCAATACACACTGAATTAGGATACAGTATTCTGCTCTAATTTCAAAATTTTGTGATAGCAAAATTGCCCAGTCATTGAAGAAAGCATGTGTCAACTTCTAAACCTCATCAAGCTTTGCTGCATCCTAACTCTCTTTATTACTACAGTCCTACACTCTCTCATTATCTATAGCTCTCTCTCTCCCTCCCAACACCCTCTCTCCTTTCTCTCTCTCTTCCTGTCACAGATCTAAGAGTAAGCCAACTCAAAAAGTGGCACGTAAGCTTAAGCTGGCTACTCTGCTGACACGGCTGTTCCTGATTCAATTAATCGTTCATCTTGTCCAGCACAAGCCAGCCCTTTACTTTCAACTCTTTTACACTTTTTCTCTCTCTTACATTCTTCTCTCTCATCTATGTCTACTCTTATCTCTCTTGCCTTCTTGTGATCTCATCTCACTCTCTTTCTCTCCCTTTCTCTCTCTCTCTCTCCCTCTCTCTCTCTCTCTCTCTCTCTCTCTCACACACCTTGTCCATTCATCCTTACTCTCTTCTCCTATTTGACACTGAAAAAGCTGCTTACGTGGATCTTTGTGTCCTTGACTATTCTCTGATCCAGAACGGGCCAGCTGTAGCTGCTAAACTCTGCTGAAACACTTTGGGCCGCTGGGCTTTGAGTGAGAAAGGCCGGCGCATGCGTGTCCAACTACATTTAAGTGGGAGCCACTAGATTTTAATCATTTTGAATGAAGCATGATCTCACATTTCGGCCAAAATAAAATGTGCACACTATTTTGAAATGTAAACAAACAAAAAAGAAGAAAAGCAACACTGCGGTACAACAGGGATGCAAATGATTAACCAATAAAACATTAACTGAAAAATAAAAACATTTTGACCGATTCTGTTGATTAAAAGCTAAAAATACAGCTACAAATTGTGGTTTTCAGGACCACTTTTAAAGCAATATACCACACTGAAAGCAAACATCTGCAAATGATAAGACAGATAACTGTTTCATCCCTGTTCTCTGAGAAAGAGAGTGATGCACAGCGGCATGAGGAAATCACACATGGGTGTGCAAAATTACAGAGATGGAAGTGCTGGATGGCACACATGCATGACATTTAAGTTCATTTAACTTGGCTAGTAATGAGAATATGGAACTTTCAGTAGCCTATTGTTAGATATAATCATATATAATCTACACTATGTGAATCAACTTTTTGGGTTTTGGTCATATCATCATGAACATAAAAACATTTATACAAACCCAGGTTCTTATGTAGGGTATGTTTAATATGGTTTCTGCCTGTTTATGTACGCATGCCTGGGTCCATCTATCAGTGCTAAGCTCTACGGTCCATACAGGGACCACTTTTTAATATCTCAGTGCAATCATACAGAATTCAGTTGATGTGTGCACCCATAAACTATGTATATCAAGTATTTTACAACGGCTTCAAATGTGGCTCAGTCAATCACCTTTTAGCACCTGAACTATATGTTTCATAAATTATATTTTGTTGTGTTGTGTCTTTGATTATAGGTTTTCTGGTTAACGATTAATCACTACGTAATGACGCTCTGTTCTGCTCCGTTATTCATTTTGCCAAAATTTGCATCCCTAGTGTAAATAGTTTCTCCAGTCACATTTGTATATTCAGTATATTTTTAAAATGAATTATCACCAAAATATGTGAATCAAACCAAATCATGAAAAGTTTTCAAGATGCACCTTTTTAGATAAAAATTTTAAGCAAATCGAACATTCATGAAGTGATTTACACCTTCAACCCTTTAAGGCAGACGCAAAAAGGCGACTTTTTCTGTCGTTTTATCGGCTCTTTCCCATGAATCACATGACTTCTGAATGTTGTTTAATTGACATGATCTAACAAAGTCAAAAATTCATAAATTTTTATCCAGTTTGTGTCTACCAAACTACCACTTTGAACAAGAAAACACATGAACAGGAATATGTCACCTGTCTCGCTTTATTGTTACTCTGATTAAGCAAATTAATAAAAAGCCCTTACTGATCCAAACCGCAATCTAAATGAGCTGATACTTGCTTGGAAAATCTAGAAAGCTTTCCAAACAAGAAAGAAAGCCTCATGCATATTTTATATAGTAAGAGAAACACAGCAGGACATGGAAAGCTTCTGCTATACTCGCTGAAATTGAGGAAATGATTTTACTGTTGCCAACAGGGACGTGCTTGCAACGTAACTCCTCTGGTGGCAGATTTAAATGTGCATGTGATGTAACTCCTCTGTTGGCAGATTTTTTTGGTAGGGGGGCGGTACTGGACCCCTTGGGTTCATGTGGTTAACTAGAACACAGAGCAATAGGTAATCTGAAGGTTGCTGTCTGTATATTCTTTCTGCCAGTTTAGACACTTTTCAGATTCAGGTTTTTCCAGATTTTTCAGGTCTTGTGTTTATATGTAAAAGTGTGAGTAACTGCGTAAATCAGGGATTGAGAGTTCTTTTTCTCCCTGGAAACTGTCCAGTGCTTATGGCTGCGTAACTGTGTTTATGTGTATACAAAACAGGCAACTCACCTATTGAGGTAGACACGTTTCTCGGTGAACTGGCCTTGGCCATGTGTGGGATCATTGAAGGGTTCGTTCTGCACCACCTCCACACCCTCCCCTCGGTCACTCTGCTCATGGCTGTGTTTACTGATCATATACAGCTGCCCGATCCTGTACTGAAGATACATATACAGAGAGGGAGAGATCAGTGTGTGTATGAGCTAAAAGTATGACCAGCTAAGAGGTGAGCTTGTTCTCTGAGCTCACCAAACCACCCACACTGCAGCTTTAGCTACTGAAAGTTAACAACAGCGAGCAGCTAACCAGAACGCTAGTGTTAGCTAGGGGTCTGTTGTAACTTTACACAAACAAACGAAATGGAATTTTCCATATATTTGTGCTTCCTCCTGCTCTCAGCAATTTTTAGAGTACTTTAAAGTTCTGGACTCTGCATTTCTCTGAGCAGGTGGATCGGTACATGTTTAAATTGGGAAAAATGTATATCAGCAGAAAACACTACACACAGCAACAAACTATTCAGCTCAGCATCGGTCAAATTTTAGTGTCACACAGGTCAACAAAATTTTTAAACTTTCAAACCAACCCTCAGAGAATCAGTCAGAGCTTACAGAGAGAGAACCTTGAGGGAAAGATGGATCGAGGAAACATTTCCAAATCTCTCTGGGCCTCTTTTTCTGAGAGTGTGCTCTAGGGTACAGTATATCTCCAAGCTTTCGATCTGACAGCACCTGACAGCTGCCCAGCTGACTGCCAGTCTCAAAGAAATCTCCAAAGTATATTCTTTATTCAAGAATAACAATGTGAAATGGTAAGAATGCACCTGTGCATTCTACAATCTGAATATGAAATGTTCAGAACGTGTTTATGTACTGAAGAAAGAGAATATAAACCAATATCACAAGGGCTGAAACAATTATTCATCAATATTGATAATGTCAACAACAAAAACTGTCGACAAATATTTCTGTTGTCCATTATTTGTTTTCCTTTTCAAAGCAGCTTCCATCCTGAAGTGAGTTAATGACTTAACCTGAAGATGGCAACAATCCAAGTGGTCGCATACAACATATCGTCGGTGTCCTTTTGTGTTGTGTTAAAATTTCATGTTGAATGGACCAACAGAAACGGTCCTAAGTCACCTGTAAAAAATCCTGTTACATTAACTTCCATTACAAGTTAAGAAAATTTTTCTTCTCCTGCAAATTTAGCATTTTGGAGATAAAAGCTTTTGTTCCGGCAGCAACCATATGCCTGACTTAGCTTTCCATGGAAGCCCAGTGTTATTTGACTTGCTCATGACAAACACTAGCAGGAACTAGCATGGTTAAGATATTCTACATTTATTTTACATTGTCTTACTGAAAAAAACAGTAACAATATTAATATTAAACACTTACAGGACCCGTTTAAGCCGATTAATCTATTATTTGTTTATTAATTCACATGAATAACCGACTATCAAAATATTTGTTTTTTGCAGCCCTAGTGCCCATGTATTCTTGAATACGAAAGTACTGTGAATTCCATAATACCATGCATATGACATGCTTAGAATGTGTATTTTATAATACAAATATGAAATTTTCAGAAAGGGTCTGTGTAGTCCACAGTATGAACATGAAATGCTCAGAACATGTTCAAGTATTTTAGTACAGGAACATAAAATGCTGTGCTTTCTACATTACGAGTATTCAAGATTCAAGATATTTTATTGTCATTGCACAGAGTACAACGAAATTGAGACGGTGCATTAACAAAAAAGATTAAACGAGGAATAAAACAAAAATATAAGCTAATATAAAATGCAAGATATTAAAGGAAAGACTATATAATTTAAAGTTATAAAAAAGTAAAAATAAAAATAAAACATTAAAATAATTTAAATAAAATGTAAAAGTAAAATAAAAAGGTGAATATAAAAGAATGTAGCGGCTATGGTATTACACATGAGGGTATTGCACATATGTTGACGGTAGTGTTTCTATTTACAAACAGTGCAGTTAATAAATAAATATAAAAGTGCAAATGAATGTGAACATCTAATTTCCCTTGAATATGTTTTGGACAGGTGCAGGCAGACACTCTATTCCTGTGTTGTTGATGATGACAATGCTCAGAATGTGTTCGTGTATTCTAGAATAAGAATATGAAATGCTCAGATTCAGAACATGGAAAGCTCATAGTTAGAACACAAAACATTCTTTCTGTGTATTCTAGAGTAAGAACGTGAAGTGCTCGGAAAGCATATGTGTATTGTACAGTGAGAATAAGTGTAAGAACAGGCTGTGAGCAGTTGTTCTGGCAGCAGCAGCCAAACGCCTCTGTTCATTACTGAACCTCCTGCACCATGAATACACACAGTGCCCATTGAAGTCCCCTAGACAGCCAAACGCTTCTAAAAATGGAAACAGCACGCACGAGCCACCGGCTTGAGAGCCCGTAAATAATTGATCGCCTACTTTCGCATTGTGTACTCAGCAGACAAGTGGAGAGAGTGAGGGTGAGAGTGAATGAGACAGGGAATAAAAAGAGAGAAGGGGATGACTGATTAAAAATCACCAAAGAGCCTGTAGTTGATGAAAATGATGATGATGGTGGTCATGACGATGGTGATGTTGGGTCTGAAGGGCCATTCCCACTGTGCCTAAGAGTGCGTTTAGCACTGCGCGTACCATTCTCCCACAAAAACATCACTATGATGAAAACCATGAGGAAGGGTTCTATAAGGAATTATCTGGAACTGTAAGCCTATTTTGCTATTGTCTTATTACGGTGTGTTTCAAAACATTTCAAACATCCTACAGTCAGAGACATTAAGGGCTGCATAAAGTATCTTGATGCAATCCTAAAAATGAGACTACAGATACTGTTCACTGCTAGATCTGTACTTCTGCCGAGCCACTTTTTGTACTAGAGTACACCCCATGATGTTCAATCCTGTAATATGTATGATAATGTACATGCTCCACTTTGAGTTAAAAAGAGAAGGGGAGGGAGGGAGGGGGGAGGGAAGGAGAGAGACCCCGAGATGCCATTGGGGGTTCCATGGCAACCACTGCCAAGGTCTATTCTGAAACCTGTCAGGCATGGAAAACACGGTTTCAAAGATAGAACCTCTAGAATAAAATAAAAAAATTATGTAAACGCAGTCAAAGAAACACCCTCGGGGGAAAAGTGACAACGTAAATGTGTTCCAGCGTGCTCCAATTCACATTCCATTAGTAACTTTCTGTGAAAACAGTGTTATATTATACACATGTCTGGCAAATACAAAGCCATTTTGGGTCTTACTTTAATTTGTAAAGTACAGAGTCTTATGTCCGGTGCTACTGTATACCACGAAGTCATGAGGGCCTGTCCTAAAATACATGCTATTTTCAGAGAGGCAAAGTCATAGTGCTATGCAAAAAGGGTTGGAGGAAGTGAAGATACTTATCTGTGTAGTATCTCCAAAGTGGAGAGTTCTCTTTTTTGATTATTTGCTTACTTTCTTCCTTATTTACTCACTGGTTAATCATCTCAATCAACCCGATCTATTGCTGTTCAGAGTGCACATGCTCTTATGGCCTCAGTTTAAGGATGTAACAATTTAATACAGTTTCAAAAAAAACTGAAACACTGGAAACAGTGCACTGAAATGCAAAACTATCATTAATACGCTCTTCGTTCTCTTCTGCGAGTCTCTAACTTACTGTCTAATTAACCAATCGTCAAAGGTGAAAACTAGGCATCCATCCTGTATGCACCCACACTGGGTAGACTGGTTTATTCAAGTTGCTTTTAAATTATAGGTGCTTATTTTGTTAAAGAATTTTGTTGAGAACTTTCATTTATCTGAGTCAAAATATTCTGTGTAGAGCTTTGTATATAGAAGTTTTTCACATTAAATATTTTTCAACATTGTTATGGCTTGACCTTACAATCTTCACCTCAATATCTACAAATAGATTTATCATCACATCCCTACATATTTGCATTATTTCTTTGTAATAAACCAACTGCACTTAAACAGCATTTAATAAATACTCCCTGTGAAAAATGATTTAACCCCAGTCGTAGGATGTGCCTCAGTATACAGCATTTTGTACCTCTGTGTTAAACAGGCCCCATTCAGGAGTCTCACTCCAATTTTAACCGCCAGTGGTGATGATCCCACTGTCACAAACCGTTAGCATTAGCATGTCACTAGCTGTTGTCCTTAAGGGAAGGCTTGCTCCGAGGACCCTGCTGTATCTGAGGGGGACAGGGCAAGACTGACAGGACCCCATTATATAACAGCATAGAGTGGCAACATTCACGCTGACAAGACATGGATATGACATCTCACTCTCTAGGCCACAATACTTCAACATCTGCTTGTTATTTTAGACCATGATCCTCATGTTTTCCTGTTCTTTTACCCTCAGGTCAGGCTGCATCAACATACAATCACATCTTGATACATACAGTATTATAGAGAGGGCTGTCTATCTTGATTATGTGAGTAACAGAGTAATCTACAGATTATTGCCTTTTTTAAAATGAGTTATCGAGGTTAGCTGTGTAATTGTGACAGCCCTAATACACAGAATATTACGGATACAGTGGCTCTTATATCAGAATCTCTGACAATCACACCAAAAGTACACTTTAAGACTGGGATTCAAGAAAGCTATTCGTTCCATAACCCCAGCCAGTTCCTCCTCTCCAAAATTATGATAAACTGATGTACACAACCTAACTGCACTGAATCACTGGTGCTGTGTTCATGCTTGCCTCGTACATTGTTACTCATAGAACCTTCAAGCAAAGGTAAATGAACCTTATTTTTGGATGGCTTCAGAATCTCAAACTAGGTGACTGATAAAAACTGGAGCAGAAGCTGGAGCAAAGCCCTCGGTTATAGTCCTGCTTTCAGATGGGCCTGGTCTCTTACGACCAGAGGATATGTGTATTTGTGTGTTTGTGTGTGTGTATGAGAGAAATACAGAGGCTAGGCCTTACGACCAGAGGATATGTGCATTTGTATGTGTGTGTGTGTGTGTATGAGAGAGATACAGAGGCTAGTGCCTAGCCTGGAAAAAAAAAAGCCCAGTGATCTTTATCCATCATGAAAACCACTTGCCATGCAGGACACAGGCACGGATCACTGTGGCTGCAGGGAAGAGAGA